AGCCTTCTAAGGTGGGCCCACCTCCTGAGTCTTTCCAAGCCCAGGCCTTTCTCTATCCTACAGCCTAAGGAAGCTTTCTAAAGAAGACACAACTCGGGTGCCTGGGTGGCTTAGTCGGTTAAGCGTCCGACTTTCGCTTAGGTCATGATCTTTCGGTTCGTGGGTTCTTGCCCTTCTTCTGGCTCTGTGCTGACTGCCTGCTCAGAGCCTGGAGCCTGTTTCAGTCTGTGACTCTCTCTCTCTCTGACCCTCCCCTGCTCACGCTGTCTCTCTCTCTCCTAGAAATAAATAAAAACATTAAAAAAATAAATTAAAAAAAAACTATAAAAAAAATAAAAAAAAAAATAAAGAAGACACAACTCTCCTCCCTTCTGCCCCCTGCTTAAAATTCTTCAGAGGTGCCCCAAGTCCTTAAGGAAATGTCCAAAATCTTTAAAATGGCTTTGAAGAGCTGGTCCCAACTTCCCTTCTCAACTGCATTCAGTCTCTCAGTCCACATTCTACAGTCAGGTTCTGCACATTCTCACCTCCAGGCCATGCCCGCCCTGGACCTCCGCCTGGAACGTTCTCCTCACTACCGTGGGCCACCCCTTCAGGCTTCTCCCTGCCCTCAGACCCCCCCAGCTCAGATATCAGCATCTTCCAGAGATCCTTACTGACGCCCTCCCCACGGGGCTGGGTGGAGTCTCGTCCTGCGGGAACGCCTGGCACCTTCCTGTATCACATTGTGACTGGCTCTTAGCTCTTCTAGCTCTTCCGAGGAAGCCAGAGACTCCGCTTCTCTTGCTGATGCTTTGTCCCCCGGCACCCAGCAGAACACCCTGCCCTCAGTGGATGCTCAAAATCTGCTGAAATAATTAAAGAACAAACATAAAATTATAGCCAAAGCTCGTCGCTCAGTGACCAGCAGAAGGTGGTAGTGAATGTCAGCATCGGCCCCTTTATGGCCCTGCCCACACCGATCCCCACTTCTTGTTTCTCTTATGGAAACACAATTTAGAACTGAGGTCCTGCCAGTGGGGGGGGGGGAGAGGGAGAGGGAGGAATGGTGAGACAGCCCGAGTGTCCCAGGGGTTGTGTGTGTGACTGTCCCCCCGTCCCCACCCTGCGCTGTTGATCTGTCCGGACCCAGTCCCTGACTCAGGCCTCTTTGTCCACGCCTACCCTAGGCTGGGAGGGAACAGCCCCTCACCCCCCACCGAAAGTTGGCCTCTGATCACACAGTGAGGATGACTGTTCCTACCCCCAGGACTCCTGGGATATGCAGCCTCAGCTCCCTCACGACATCACCACTAGCCTCCAGCGAGATAGCCTCCAGCAAGATGACCCAGGGCTGCGGGAGGTTGGCGCCGATTTTCCCAAAGAGCACTGTTGGCATTTCTCTGAAGGCACATCCCACTGGCTTCCTGAATGATCATTGGCTCAGCTCATATCTGTTTTATCTCCCCTCCAGGACTATGTGCTCTTTGAGCAAAGAGATCATGTATTAATAATCTTCATATCCCCCAGCAGGCCTGACATGGAGCACCCCAATAATTGCTGAACGAATGCGTGAATTTTAAAACTGTGTGCATGCGTATGCATTCCCGGGCAGACTTGCCCATTTTCCACCTTAAGAAGATGGGATGTGTCCTATTATTGAAAACATTCCCCTTGACCCTGAAGGGATCCCAGGGGCTAATCACCTCCAGAGTCAAAAGGATTGTTTTTTTCCTGGTCTAACCTAAATTTCTCTAGATGCAACTTCAGTGCATTTTCTTTTAATATCCAGCTCTATAGCCACTGGGACTAAGACTCAATTCTCTGCAAGGAGATAGTTACTAACTCACTCTTTGGGCTTCTCTTCCACAAATGTAATCTCAGATCCTTTACTGTTCCTTCCCAGGGGCCCTATTGTCCAGGCTTTTCCCCTGTTCTGCGGCTCCTTGGGCCTTGTGCCAAGCTCTCAAAGGCCTGCCCCCGGCTGGAGATGCAGGAATGGGACATACTGCTCTCCACGGAGCCGTGGGCAAACTCACGGACGCTTACATTCTGCCTACGCGCAGGAAGCTCACCTCTCTGCGCGCCCGTAACCCTCAGTCCTTGGCAGAGAGGGCTCATGGGCGGCCTCTGCGCACCGTCTCATTCCTCTGCTCCCACCTGCTCCCCTGAGCCCCAGACTGTAACTCTCACACACCTGAACACACACTCACACGCACAAGAAGAGACCACACAGACCTCGCCACCCTTTTACCCCAAGGGGGAGCCAAGCTCAGGCAAGCGAGCCATCTTCCTCCTCCTCCCCCCTGCCTCCTCCCTCTGCCTCTCCCTGTCTTTCTTCTTTAAGCCTTTCCTTTGGCCACAACGGGCCAAACCTGCTTTCTCTCTCCACCTCCGCAGTGATTTTTCACTTCAAGGCTGAAGGCAAGGAGTGAATGAACTGAAGTTGGCTCCTCCTTCCCCCCACCCGGCTCCCATTTCTTCCCCCAAATCCTCAGGGTGACCTCCATTTGCCCAGAACACACACCACTCTCCATCCCCTTCCCAACCCACCCCTGCCTTTCCCCAGCACTGGATTCACAGGTTTCCACCTGTTGGAAATGAACCACGGGGGAGCATTGGAAGCCGACAGACAGACAGACAGGCGGGTTCCCCCTCAGACTCAATGACAGGTGGCCGACTGTGACTGTGGTCTGGCTGGGCACCGTGTCAGCGGGCCAGGCGATTCAGGAACATTGAGAGTAGGGTGATATTCATTCATTCGCTAGACAAATATTTACCCAGAACCTCCAACACCCCAGGCACCTCGTTGCATCCACAAAACCAACACAAACCTGCCTTTACACAATGTACATTCTGTGGGTGGAGACAGAAAATAAATAAGTCAAATAGACTGTGTGTCGGGTGGTGACAGGAGAAAGCAGGGAAGGGGGACCGGGTGCAGGCGGAGGGTGGGAGGTGCACCCTGGAGGAGGCCGGCTGGGGAAGGCCTTACGTGGAAGGTGGCACTTGAACAAAGACCTGAAGGAGCGAGCCACGGTGAGGACGGGAGGGGACAGTCCCTGGGTGCAGGGCATTAGGAGACACCCTTGTGGACAGCCATGGAGAACGAGGTGCCATTCAGAGGAGCTTTCGCCCCCAACCCCAGGGCTGGGAGCCCGAAGTGGGGGTTGGGAGGCAAGAGAGATGAAAGAGGCCACAGTAGGCATGAAACCGTGGCCTCAGAGGGGAACAGATGCTAAAAAGCAAACAGAAACCAAAGCGAGTGTTGAGGTGTCCGCGTAGGCCATTTCCAGAAGGAGGGAGGTAAAGCTTCAGTGAGGTGGATTGAGGGGGGGCAGGAGATTCTCACAGAGCTTGTGGGTGGATGGCGGTCACGGGCAGAAGCCAGGAGCACCCCGTGGCCAAGCCTTTCTGCAAACCCGCCCATGTTTGCCTTGAAGGGGTTATTCCCAAGGGAGGGGGGGGTGTACTCCTCCCTGAGGCATCATCAGTCCCGGCGGTGCCCACACAAGCCCTACTGCACCCCACGTGTCTGTGTCTTCAGCACCTGCTATACCAGGGATGACACCCCACTCTCTGCAAAGGCATCACGAGGAGCGGGTACCTTTAGTTTCTGGGTGAGGAGCACCCACCACCTCCATGGCCCCTTGGTCCCTCAGTTCCTCTCCAGCCCCACTCCGTGCTGAGCCTGGAGCCACACAGGCTCACAGGCAGGCTGACCCGGGCTCAGACCCATGTCCCTCCGTTGACTCCTTCCGTGGTCTTGGGTCGCCCTGAGCCCCCACGTGCTCATCTGGGGACAAAGAGGGGGAAGTAACGCGGTAATATCCACTTCGGGGACTGCTGTGGGAAACTGCCCGGAGAAGGCAGTGACTCTCCATCTTGGCTCTGGGACAGACTGAGTGTCTCAGAAAGTCGTGAGGCGTGTGGCCAGGAATCTGTAGCTATAAATAGTCAAATCGGGGAAGGGTGCACACTGTTTGGTCTTTTTGTATAATTCAGTGTTGGCTCTGCAGTGACATCACTCTCGGGCTCTGACACCGGCAGATCCTCCAGGACCAGAGATAAAGGGACAGCTAATCTCCCGGGAATTTGCATATAGGCTGCAGCCTCTCTCTTATCTGTGTCTCAGCCTCAGGGAGTGCCGCCCCTAAGCAAATTCCATCTCTCCCAGTGTGTGGTGTCAGGATTAGGGGCTGAGACTGCGAGTTGATGGCTAATGTCCAGCCCATAGGGCTTAGCACATAGCTGGGGGGGGGGAGGCTAGCACAGAGTAGGTGCTCCTTGGTGGGGGGGGGGCATGGCGGGGCAGTGGGAGAAGAATGAAAGTCACCCTCGGGCACAATGTGGCAGTTCCGCCCCCCTCAGGAAACAGATGCCCTGAAGGAGAAAGTGGGGAGGGAAGAAGCTGCTGTGGGGGCTGGCCCCAGGTCTGTCCAGTCCTCCAGCGAACATCCAGGGTGTGATGGGGAGGCCGTTGGGTAAAGGTGACACCGAGGAGTTGGACAGGACAGGGTGAACATTCGTGCCTCGGTCAGGGCTAGCTCAGGACAACCTGACCCCCAGATTGCTTATCTTGGTACAGGGCCACCCACCCAGAAGGGAAGCTCACCCAAGCACCCAAGCACGTGGGGTCTATCAGCAAGGCTTTCTCCCTCCAGCCACGGACACTAACTACTTCCTGCTCATTCACAGCCTGTCAACTCCTCCCCAGAGGCCACCATGTCCCAAGCCTTCCTGAGGGGCCTCCCACCCAGTCCCACCCTCCTGTGGTGGCTATGAAGCTGTTCTGGCTGGGGGAGGGGTCCCCAGCAGGAGAGCCAGCTTCCAGGCCCTGTCCTCAACCCCAGCCGACCCTCACCTAAACCACAGGAGCAAGAAGATGGGGAACGGAGATGGGGGTGAGGATCGCAGCCTCCCATCTGAATCCCTCTCCGCTGTACCAGTTACCACGCTGCCCCCCACATTTCCTCCCTTCCCAGTGGAGGGCTCACGGCCCCAGACACAACCAGAGTCCGTCCAAAAGAGGCAGAGAGATTTATTCAGATCAGCAAACTTGGGTTTTTCAAGCCCCGGCCCGTGGTGGGCAGCCCTCCCTCCCTGTCCCCTCGCCCCCACCCCTTAGCCACAGCAAGGGGACTGGAAAATGGGAAACCGAGGGGGGCCCCTGCCAGGGGCGGGCTGCCTTGATGTGTGGTGAGCGCAGCCCAGCTGTGGCTGGGGAGGCGGCCACCAGAGGCCTCTCCCTATAAATTAAGTCCCTGCAGCCACAGCTAGGGGCGAAGCATACTTGTGGGAGGCAGGCCAGAAGGCAGCGCCCCGACCCCCAGCCAAGGAATGGATTGAGGGCACAGGGCTCAGGGGTAATGGGGGGAGAAAAGCCAAAGGGAAAGAGAAGAGGTATGCGGGTGGGAGGGGGTTGGCAAGGCCCCCAAATTTTGGTCCCAAGAGAAAAGAGGCCAGTTTTGGTCGGTCCAGTTTTGGTGGCTTTGAGGAAAGGAATGTATTGGTAAGCACAGGGGAGAGCCCGGTGTCGGGTGCCCCCCGGAGGAGGCAGGCCAGGCCAGGCCCCCACGGCGGCAGAGGGGAGTCTGCGAGCCCCAGGGGCCCTCGGGGAATGTCACCGCTAAAATATATATATATATATATTAACCATCCGTGGGAGGGCGTGAGCAGAGCCGCGCTGCCATCAGAGGATCTGGCGGGGCATGCCGTAACCGGTCATGCCTGCCTGGGAAGCCCCACGATTGGTTCCCATCTGCAGCCCGATCACATTCTTGCCCTCTTGGAGCTGGTTGTCCGAGAAGTTCCGAGGGTTCTCCTTGGATTTCCTGGGTGGACAGAGAGGGCTGGTGAGAAAGGGGCTGGAGGCGGCCCCAGCGGGCATCTTCCCTGAGGACGCACGTGCCGCGGCCAGCTTTGCTCCCGAAGCCGCCACCTCCCCGCGTCTCAGAAGGGACGGTCCGTGGCCATCCCAGGAGGGCAGCGAGGACTAAGGGTGACAAGGTGCTTTGCGCGGGACCGTTTCCTCGGGATGGGGATAGGTCTGGGCCCCCCCACGAGACTCACTTGGGAAACCAGTTGGGATCTCCAGAGAAAAGCCCATCGTCCCGGGCCACTGCCAGCCCGCCCAGGTTCATCAGTGTCCGCTGCACACACGCCATGTTCTTTCCTGGGAAGCGGAAGGCGGCGTGTTGGCCTCAGCAGCGCTGGGTTCCACCCCCACCCACATTGTCAGCAAGCCTGGCTTCCCAGTTCTCCTCTTCACCCCCATAGTCCCCGTCACCCTAACCCACACGGCCCTCTCCTCCATGAAACACACACACACACACACACACACACACCTGTCCTCAGGCTGCCAGGAACCCGCCCCTTCTCCCGGGTCAAGACCGCCCAGCCCAGTCTCTCTGGTCTCCAGGGTGACGGTGCCCTGGCCCACCTTCCCAGAGGTCCACAGTCTGGAAGATGTCAGTGGTGTTGATGCCGTAGCGCTCGGCCGCCTGCAAGAACTGAGAGATCTGCTCCATCTGCTTGAAGGCCATGGTGGAGGCCTGGATCTTCTTCACCGGGGCCTGTCCCTCGGGGTACAGCCCATTGATGAGCTCGCACAGCACCTGGGCAAGGGCAGCAGGTGTGCAGATGTGAGGCCACGCTGTTGCCAGGGACGCCGAGCCCCCGAGGCCCCTGTCCTACCTGAAGACTCTCCAACTCCACTGGCAATGAGCCCCAGCTCCCTCCTGCCCAGCCCCTGCCTCTGAGCCCAGACTGAAAACCTTGCTGTTCCTGGGGCGCCTGGGTGGCTCAGTCAGTTAAGCGTCCGACTTTGGCTCAGGTCATGATCTCACGGTTCGTGGGTTCGAGCCCTGTGTCAGGCTCTGTGCTGACAGCTCAGAGCCTGGAGCCTGCTTCGGATTCTGTGTCTTCCTCTCTCTCTGACCCTCCCCTGCTCACACTGTCTCTCTCTCTCTCTCTCTCTCAGAAATAAATTTTTTTAAAAAACATTAAAAAAAAAAAAAGAAAAAAGAAAACCTTGTTGTTCCAGCATCACTACCTAGAACCCCCCCAGCCCGCCCCACCACACCCCCCTCCCGGGTTCTTCCCTGTGTCCCCTCCAGCCTCACTTTTCGCTCCATTGGAGGGAGGAAAGCACAGGCCATTGGCAAGACAGATGCCCAGGCTAAGGAGGAAGTAGGATGGGGTTGCCCACAGTTCTCCAGGTGAAATAATCCCAGCCACCACCACCCTGCCCCCCAGGCCCAGCTCTGCTCCTGGCACTTGCAGTCAGAGGGCCCAGCTCTCACTGTGCCGTCCTTGAGCCAGTTCTGGAAGTTCTCACGGCCGGGCTGGGGCCGGCCCACGTCCTTGCGGCACTGGGTGGTGATCCACTGGGTCAGGATCTGCTCCAGGTCCGCGTCATACTGCTTCTCGATCTTCTGCTGCACCTCCCGGCTCAGGCCGTAGGCAGGTCCCCTGTTGGCCATTCCGAAGGGCAGCGGTGGCTGTGGGGAGCTGGGGAGAGGACACAGCAGTCAGTTCTCCGCAGCCTGTGGGGACACACTCCCTATCCCCCGGGTGGGCCCCAGAGGCGGGACCCACTGGCAAATGAGGGCACTTTCACTCTGACTCCGGGGCGTGGGCTGAAATAGCACCGCTCAGAGCTCTGAGGTTAAGGGGCCACGCAGGCCACCTCTGGGTTCCCCCAACCCTGTGACGGGCAGTCTGTTTATTATATTGAGTCTTCCCACTAGATTTCATTTGAGGAGCCCCACTACTCAGATGAGGTAGAAACCCCACTGGAATGGAATATGGGCTAAATGAGGCCAAGCCTGGGGTTCAGCTCCTCATCTGGGGTGCTCAGCTTTAGCAAGGGCAGGCTGGTCATTCTAGCCCTTCAGCCCTGGGGAGAAAGAGGATTTGGAGAGAGGAGGAACACTTGGAATGGCTTGGAAGATCTCTGCCAGGAGCTAGAGAACTGGACACAACTACCCTCAGTTAGCCACTGGCTTGTGCCGGGGATTGCGGAAGAGACAGAAGCCCTTGGGTCCTAGAATGCCACCGGAGAGACAAAGTGAGCTTGTGCATGTCAAATACCACATAAGCCTACACAGTCAGACCCTACGTCATAGAAACGCAGAAGAGAGTGTAGGCAGAAAAGCAACCTGGAAGGCTTCCTGGAAGAGTAGGTCTAAGTGGGTCCTTAAAAGACTTGGGCAGGCAAAAGGAATCTCCCATGAGAAACCAGGCAGTCAAAACAAATTCTACTTTCCTTTCTAGAAGCTGTGGTGGACAGAATAATGGCCCCCCAGAGGCATCTACATTCTAATTCCCTGAAGCTGTGAATGTTACATGGCAAAAAGAAAAAAAAAAAAGGACTTTGCAGAGGTGACTGAAGGAAGGGTCTCAAATGGGGGAGAGTCCCTTAGACCATGCAGGTGGGCCCAGGGTCCTCACAGCCAGGGTCTCTATAAGCCAAGGAGGGAGGCAAGGAGGGAGGCAAGTCAGAGCAGGAGAAGTGAGAAGAAAGCAGAGTCAGGTCAGGGTCAGGTCCAGATCCTGGACAAGGCCCGGAAAGCAATTCTCCCCTAAATTCCCCAAGAAGGAACGTGGCCTCGCTGACGCTTTGGTTTTACGGGTGAGACTTCTGCGGGGATTCCTAGAGCTGCATGATGTGCTTTAAGTCACTAAGTTTGTACTGATTGGTTAGGGCAGGAATAGGGAACTGATGCAGGAGCCTTGGGTGGTATTTTCAGGGGAATCTGGGAGGGAAGGGAGACTGGGGGAAATGCACAGGAGGGTTTAGCTTTGAGGACCTCACTTAGGTAGAACAGGGTGGTTTCCAGGCCGTCGGGCCATGGGCAGTCTGTCCCCACCCACTACCTAGGTCCCCCCTCCGGGACCCCACAAGCAAGCCCAGGAGTGATACTCATGCAGGGGGGAGACAGGCCCAGAGAAAGGACAGGACTTCACTTCCTGTCCCCATCCGCTCTATAAATGAGCTTCCCTTGCCATTGTGAAAGGCAGCCAGCTGTCTGCTGCTCACACAGGGAGAGTCACCAGGATAAGCACCTGTGTTCAAGGACAGGAAAGGGAGACACTCTTGCCCCCCATATCTGGCTCTAGACCAGGTCAGACTTAAGGGACGAAGTCCCTCTGGCTCCCTCTCTCCCACACACCCTAGGTGAAACAATCCTGGCCCCCCTTGGGCCTTGGGGTTCAGGAGAGGAGCCAGATCGTTTGGGCAGAGCCACTCAGCCTTGGGCCTCAGGCTAGGCTCCTCCCCCACCCTCCAGCATGGCTGCTCCTTCCCCGTCCAGCTCATCCCGCCGCACAGTTCCCGGAGAGATCCTCCCCACAAATCAGTTATTTTTATATCTCATTAAGAGCAACCCACCCTCCCTTCCCCCCACTTCCCCCGCCTGAAGGCTGGGCCAGATAAATGTGGGTCTGGGCCTTGACCCGCACCACCAGGCGCGCGCGCGCGCACGCACGCGCGCGCGCACACACACACACACACACACACACACATACACGCTCAGCTGGGGGAGGGTAGGCTGAGGCCTGAGGAGCAAGGGGGACAAGAGTTTCTCCTTCCTAGCCCAGCCAGAGCAGCCTGGGGCCCTGGCACACAGGGGCGTGGCTGGGAGACCTGAGGTGAAGGGCGGAGGTGCGTGGGGCTGCAGTCACCAGTAAGCCCCCTTTTCTTGGCCCAATGTCCAGACCTCTCTTCTGGGAACAGCTTCACTTCGGTCCCCTGGGCCTCAGGGCTGTGTCTCCTTGGAGCCAAGTGGCCTGAGGCCAAGGGATCACGATGGCCCGGGGAGAGAAAGGGCAGGAGAATCATTAACCCAGGCACCAGGGTTAGAAGGGGAGAGCAGTTTCCCCTCCCACACACAGGGGCAGAACGGACTCGGCCTCCCAGACGCACCTCTGGGCTCAGGGAGGATGCTGAGGGCCCCTCCCCAACTCTGGAGACTGGGCCTAGCAGGCAGGGTCTCGGCTCCACGCTGGGGCCACAGCCCTTGAACCCGAGGTGCCACAGCTGTCGGGCGGAGCTCCGGGAAGGGGCGGGGCCCTGGGAAGAGGCGGAGCTCTGGGAGGGGGCGGGCCTCTGGGAACGGTCAGGGCAGCCCCGAGCCAGCCAGTCCACAGCTGTTTTTTCTCCTCCGGACCCCTGGGGTAGGCGCCAACGGATGGGCCTCGGCTGGCGGGCTGAGCTGCAGTGGCCCCCCCTAGTAACACCCAGGGGACTCTCCGCATCCATTGCTCAAAGGAAGGGAAGACAGCCAGGTGCCTACTGGGGTGGGGAGCCGTGTAGGAGATGCCTGGGGCTGGGGGTCCAAACAGACAACAGCTGAGCTACTTGGGGGGGTGGGGTGGGCCTGATGCAGGAACATCCCTCACCACCCCCCACCCCCCAGACCCTGGGCAGGATGCTCACCTCGCCCCACCCCACACAGATGCTAAGGGAAAGGGTCCTTGGCTGGGGTGTTTCGTGAGGAAGACAGTCTCTTCATTCATAGTGCACACAGGACGCAGGGGAACTTCCCGACTCAGGGTCTGGGTTAGGGCTATTCTGAAAGGGCGAGATGGGGGCCCCCGCCCCCAGAGTGAAGCGCACAGGGAGCAGGCAGACGCAAGGATGATGGACACCTGTGACCAAGGAGCCACGCGGGGTAGCCCCTCACCGTCAAGTCAGCGAGCAGAAGAGAAAGCCCAAGCTGCACAAACAGGAAGCCGCAAGGCTTGCGGGAGGAGGGGTGAGGTGGGGGCCGTTGCCATGGCCTCTGTGTACCAAACACAGGAGCCCAGCAGGGTGGGGGCACCAGGCGGAGACACGCACTCCACACACATGGAGTGGGGAGGAGGCTCTGAGCACCGGGGCCACAGGCGGCATCCTTGCAAAGGGGCCCCTCGCCGCATTCTCAGGCGCGGGCAGGTGCGAGGGCTCCCGCAGCGGGGGAAGCGGGGGGAACAGCTGCGGAGGCCATGGAGGGCATCTGGAGAAGTGGGAAGTTCCAAGTTGGGGGGTAGAGAAGCAGACTCAAGGAAACAGTTCAGAAGAAGAAATGCCCTGGGAACGGAAGGCAAGACGGGAGCCAGAGAGCCCCATAGTTCAGAATCCTGGAGGGAGAGGGCTGGGGGAGGAAGCAGTAGAGGCCAATCCCCAGGGGGCAGGAGAGGGCTGGGGCGCTGGAGGGGGGGTTGCGGTCGGACAAAGACATCCGGCTGCCTCCGCGGGGCAGGGCCCGGCCGCCCCAAGCTACCTTGGGCTCCCCTGCAGTTGTGGGTCTTCCGGGGGGACTGGAAGAAGAAATGGGGGGGCGGGGGGCGGCGTCGGTGAGGAGGAGCTGTCCCTCTATCTGGTGCTCTGGAGTCAGAACTCGGGAGAGCCCACCCAAGCCACTGCCCCCCCATCCCCGGGACCCTCACTCCCGCCACGCTCCTTTCTGCTCCCAGATACCAAGCGCCCCCAGAACTTCCCGGGCACGGGCTGCAGGGGGCTCCGTGGGGCCTGCGGGGCCGGGAAGGCGGCCGTCCACTTCCGGTCCTGCAGGTCCGGCCCCGCCGCCCCGCCTCGCCACACCCTGGGCCGTTACAGCCGGATGAGTCACCCACCGCCCGCCGCTGGGGTGACGCAGTGGTCTGGGCAGCCCGCCCGCCCGCGGCCCCCGCCGGCTTTCCCAGCAGCAGGGGGCGCGGGGTGGGGGCCCCGGCCGGCGGGGACTGGAGCGCCTGCAAGCAGCCCTCTCCCCACACCAATCGCGCGCGCCGGCTGCGACCCCCCGAGCCCGAGGTCGGGGGGGGCTCTCCTCCCCAGCCCGCGACCCTGAGTCCCCAGGAAGACAGCCCGCGGGAGGAGGCGCAGAGAGGGCGGCCCCCGCACGTGCTCCAGCCACCGGGAAGCGAGGGGTCGCGGGGAAGCTCCCGCGCGCGGTCCCTCGGAGCCCGCCAGCCACGCCCCGACGCCCTCCGCTCCTCAACCCCGACGGCCGGGTCCCCGCTGCGGACGGACCCCCCGTCAGTGCATCCGCACCCTCGCCTGACCTCATCGCCCAGCAATGCCGGGTCGGGGCTTGGGGACAGAACCCGACAGCGCAGGGCGCGCAGAGCGGTCGTCGGACCCTTGCCCCGGCTCCGGGAGCAAGTCGGCGGCGCGGGCCTCCCGCTCCCCGGGGGCGCGTCCCCCGCCCTCCCCCTGCTCACCGTTGGCAGGCCGGCGGGGCGCGCTCAGGACGGGGGCTGCGGGCCGAGTGGCGCGCCCGGGCCGGGCCGGGGGTTTTCAGCGGCTCCCGCCTCGGACGGGGCGGACCCGGGGCGGGGCGAGCGCGCGAAGGCTTTAAAGGCGCCGCAAAGCCTGGGCAGAGGGCAGAGCTTGGGGAGAGGGGCGATGGGCCGGGTCTTGGGCAAAAAGATGTGGGGAGTCGGCCTCGGCGGGCAGCAGCAGTGGCCTCCACCCATGAGCACCTCAGCCTCCACCTGGGAGCTCATAACGTGTGCCTTGGTGGGAAGCTTTGTGCCTGGAAGGTTAGCTCCAGACTGTGGGCGTGTTTCTGTGGGAAGAAGCGTCTTGATTTTAAAAGGGTGGCTAGGTAAACGGAGGCACGGCAAGACTCCCCCATCCCAACTGACTAAGGTGTGACAGTACTGGGTCTGCAGGCCAGGACAGTACCCGCACGTGCTCCCGCTTTCCACCGACTTCAGGCCTGGGCAGGAACGAACAGTGAGGTCATTCTTTGTTTGCCCCCGCCCCGGGGCCCGAGGGGCGTGACGAGTGTTGGGACCCAGGGTTCAGACCTGATTTCTCTCCCTAGTCTCCTCCTCTCTGACCTGGCATCTGGATCCTCAGGCGAGGAGGGGGAGGCAGTTCTGGGTCTGATGTTGGAGGGGAGGCACAGCTTAGGGGCTGAAGGAGCACCCCTCTTGGGGCTTCTGCTGGGCAGTCCCCCTGGGGTGGAGTCCCTGCCTACACCAGCCAGTGGGGTTCTTCCCGTTTTGGTAGAAGCTGTTTGGCCTGGTTTCCAAGGACATCAACCACCAGGTCCTTCCGCCTCTCATCCCCTCCTTCCGGAATCCTCCACGCCCGGGAACCAGGTCCACCAAGGGATTCCCTGGGAAACCCGACCTAGTGTTCTCACTCCTCTGTGCTTTCTGCCTGGAATGCTTTCCCTCCCTTGACCCACTTCTGCCCTGCTCTACGCACCCCCCGCCCCCATGCCCAGTGTGTGACCTTTGGGCAAATGACTAATGCCTCTAAGCTTTGGTTCGCCAGCCTATGAAATGGAGAATTCTACCAACCTCATAGTTATGGAAAATGAAATGATACACGTAAAGAGCTTAGAGCGGTGCCTGGCACATAGCGGGTGCTCGGCGATTCGCTCTTACTGTTACTCCCATTCCGTGAGGACCCCCCCCCCCCCCACAGGTGGGGCACTGTCCCAGGACATGCTGGAAGCACTCGTTGTGTGCACTCCTTCCCTTTGTGCTACAATACCCAGCACAGAGCCTTATCGCAGAACTTTTCACGTCACACTGTAACTGTCTCTTTGCCTGCTCCACCAACTAGCAAGAGCTCGCCAAGGGCAAAGGCTTGACTCCGTGAACTTTGTTTTCTCAGCCTCTAGCTCAATGGTTGGTCGGTTGGTCTCTAGATGACCTCAGGAGGCTCTCAATAAAGGCTCTTTGAAAGGATGTTGAATGCACCTCTATCCATTCGGGAAGGGCTGCCTCCTTTTTAAGGGTTGAGGGCTTTCCCTACCTCCCTCTCAGATTCAAAGGCAGAAGACACACAGGAACATTTGTCAGACTTTCTTTATTCACCTGTAAAAAACCTCACCCACACCACAAACACCAGCACCACACACACACACACACACACACACACACACACACACACACACACAGGGGCAGATCTAAGATCCCTGTCCCAGTCCTCAGACTCTAAGGGCCGGGCATACACATCTCATGGCGAGCCCACCGAGGCCTCCCCCCCGACCCAGAGCGGCAGGAGCAGTGACCCAGGCTTGGAGCTGGGGTCCGCTGGGGCCTGCCCTCTGCAGGGTCTGTGCGCCCTCACCCAGCCTCATACTAGGCGCTCTCACAGCAGAGTGGCCTGTTCGGGATGGGGGACTGGCTGTCTATAGACTGGCAGCCGGGCCCTAGTGGCATCGCGGCGGCGACGGAAAGCCAGGAACTCCTCCCGGAGGGCAGCACAGCGGGCCTCGGGGCCAGGGGCAAGGGCAGCGTTCAGAAGGCCACCCTCCTCTGGAGTCTTCACATCTGCAAGAGGAGGGCACAGCAAGGAGTGGGAGAGGGCTGAGGGTCGCTGGTGCAGGTGAGTGAAGGAAGCAGGAGGAACAGACTAGGGAGACGTGGAACGGTGGGGGGTGGGAACGCGCCCCCGCCTTCCTGGAGGGCTCACACACCTAGCTCTGGCTCAGCTTCAGGTCGGGGTCGAGGGCCAGCCGCGCCCAGGTGCAGAGTCCCCAGCAAGTCCATGTCCCCAGGGAATTCTGAGTCCCACTCATAGTTTTCATCCACAGATGTGTTCCTCCTGTCACAAGGGACAAATGTGTGGTATGGGGAGAGGAACAGAGAGGGTGACCAGACTCAGGTGGGGCCGTGGGTCTCCCCTGAAGATCCCAGACCTCAGCGAAAACTTCTGAAAGGAGCCAAGTTCTCCTGGCCCCCGGGGGAGAAAGCTCAGAAGGCACGGGTATCAGGAGAGGGGTGGGGAGGGCTGGGCAGGAACCGGAGCCAAGGCAGGGAAGGGCAGGGACTGTCCTCACCTCTTGCTGACTGTCACCACGTGCTCCCTTCGGGGCCACCTCTCAGGGCCGCTGGCCCAGCTGCCGGTGTCTCCCGGAGCAGGGCTGAGGTAGCTGCCTCCTGCAGAGGGGGCTGTGGAGGGGGGCCGAAGGAACGAGGCGCTGCCCCGCCCGCTGCTCTGGCTGGTGAGGCTGCCCCGAGGGGCGGCAGGGAGAAGGCTTGGCAGTAGCCGTTCCCTCAGTGTCCAGTCGGCCAGTGCCGTGTACAGGGGCTCTGGGGTGACCCCGGCCCCGACCACAGCCCCAGGAAGCACAGCCCTGGGGGACACGGTGGCGGAGTCCAGGGGCTGAAGGAGAGATGAGGTGGGGCAGGGCCGGGTATCCATGTAATCTGGGGGTGGAGCAGCCCCAGGCTCCTCGAAAGGGGGCCAGTCCCCATCCACATTCATCTCCCGGAAGAAGGGCAGGCTCAGGTACTGAAGCAGGGGTCCTGGACCAGGCAGAGGGCTGGGCGGGGCCTCGGGAGGGGGCCCCACAGGGCTGATGTCTGTAATGCAGAGGGGCTGGGGCCTCCCACTGGGGCTGCTGCTGCTGCAGTCAGAGGACCTGGCCTGGTGCTGGGCTGGGGTCCGAGGTTCAGCTCGCTCAGAGCCTGACCTTTCCTGGGGGGTCCCGGCGCTGGGTCCCATCACGAATCGGCCATCTGGTCCCCGGCAAATGGGCTCCAGGGGTAAGGGGCCCCGGCTAGGTGGAGGATCCGGAGGAGGGCTGGGGGGGCCAGCGGGCTCCCCCCAGAGCAGACTCTGGCGCAGGCTGGGAACTGGGGAACCCTGGAGCTTCAGCCTCGCCACGCTATCAGGACTGTCCGAACCCGGAGCAGAGCTGGGGAAGGGCAGGGGATCAGGCTCTGTGGCCGAGGACCACAGGAACCAGCCTTGAGAGGTCTGGGGGACAACAGAGCAGAGCTCAGGACAGCGATGGCGGAGACAAGGACCCACGTGGTGGAGGGGTGGAGGAGAGGCGCAGGGCACAGCCCAAGGCTGGGACCTCTGCACTCCCACCCTGATCTCCTTCCAGCTTCTGTGCCGCCCCTCTCCGCCCACCCCAAGGCACCACAAAGGAAGCGGAGACAGCTGGCACAGAGGGAAGGCCGAAGGAAGCGCGGAGGAGGTGTAGGGACTTACTGCGGCGCTGACTTCCGGGGCGGGGAGAAGATAAGAGGCGCATCTGTTCGGGCAGGAGAAACCGAGGTGACATCGGCAAAACTCAGGCCTTCCAGGGCCCCAGGCGCAGAGCCTCACCCAACACCCGCTGGCACGCCCTCCCGCTGGGGACCGTGTGGACGGACAGGACGCACCTGGCCTGCGCGGGAGGCAGGCGGCCACCTCCGGGGGGGCGGGGCCCTGCCGTGAGGCTGGGGCTGGGGGCGGGGCCCTGCCGTGGGGGCGGGTCTGGGGGCGTGGCCCCGCGTGGGGGCGGGGCTGGGGGCGGGGCCCTGCCGTGAGGGCGGGTCTGGGGGCGGGGCCCCGCGTGGGGGCGGGGCTCGGGGCGGGGCCCTACCTTGGCGGAGGCGCTTGCGGCGGCGGCGCGCTGCCCTGCGCCGGTTGGTCAGGCAGGCGGCCAGGATGCTCACGAGGACAGCCACGCCCAGGAAGCAGACCCCGCCCACCACGCCGGCCAGGACCGGCTGGGGCAGGAGGCCTGGCAGCTGCGTGCGTGAGGGGTACACCTCCAGGCCTGGGCGAAGGGTCACGAGGGGCGGTCGGTGCCCGCGACGGTGCGCTCAGAGCCCCCCTTCCCCACCGCGCCCAGCGCTCCGCCCTCCCGCCGGGTTCTCACCGGAAGTGGACACGTTGGCCGTGTTGCTGGGATCGCTGACATAGCTGCCTGCGAGGGCCACGAGGCGGAACTCGTACAGAACGTCCTGAGGGTGGGGGTCCAGGGAGGGGGTCAGGCCCAGCACCGCCCACCCCAGCTCCGTCCAGAAAGGCTGTGCAGTTGGGAGGGAAGGGTGAGAAGCCCGGGTTCGGGGAACGGAGCCGGGGCCCGGGGAATCGCGGGGAGGAACCTACGTGTGCCTGCCTGCCACGCGTACCTTGATGAGTCCTGGTACCAGCAGCTGCATTTCCGTGCCTGCCACGGCCCGGTCTAGCACCTCCCAGCCCTGGGAGCCTTGCCGTCCTTCCAGCACATAACCATCCAGTGCTTTAGGGACCAGCTCTGGGGGATCCCAATGCAGGAGGACCCCCCGGGGTGTCCTCACTGCCACCAGGCCTCGGGGAGGTGACAGAGCAGGTGACATCTCAGTGGGCGGAAGACTGGGGGCAGCTGGCGTGGTAGGAAGCCCTAAACAGGGCAGACAGGCATGAGATGGGGCTCCCAGGCCCCTTCCACAAGCCCTCCATCCCCTGCCCCCAAATCTATGCCCAGCCATTCTCCTAGAGCCCGTAAGGCAGGAGGGAATCACGTTCTATAATGCCCTGTGGACCGCAAGCGCCCAGCACCTCTGCCTCCTCTCCCCCAGGTCGTCCCATATCCGGGTTTTCCCTATCAGTCCCACCCACCCTGTGAACTGCTGGAGGTTGGGGGCGGGGGGGGGGGGATCTCTCACCTTCAGGGGCAGACAAGACGATCTCGCTGAAGGGCCCACTCCCCAGCTTGTTCTGAGCTAGGACGCTGAACTGGTACTGGGTATGGGGCTGCAGCCCGGGCACCAGTAGGTAAGCAGCCCCCACAGGCACTGCCAGCGACACCCAGTCATGGTGGGTTCGGTCAGGACGCTTGGCCCTGGAGGGCATGAGGAAAGGGGGGCACATCGTGACTAGGAGGGCCAGCAAGCTTTGGAGTCCAGAGATTTGACCTGTCCCCTCCCCTCAGCTATGCAGGGTCTCATGAACACCAAAGATCTCCCTGGAAATAGGGCAGCAGAGTTAGGGCGGGGCTGGGATGGAGGGGTGGGAGGAAGGGCAGAGGGCCAGATGGACTCAGGTGGGGAGACAGGAGGGGCGGGTCACTCACAGCGGGGTATACCAGACACTGAATCTCTGCAGATAGCCACCATCAAAGCCAGGCTCCCAGGAGACATTGGCACCCTTGGGCAAAGGCACCACGGACACATTGGTGACAACGTGTGGGCTGGTGCCTGGGGAGGGGGAATTGAGTGGATGGGGGAAAAGGCTGGTCAGGTAAAGAGCTGGGGGGGGGGTCCCGGGGCCTCTGATTTCCACTCATCATCCCTGGGGTCCCCTGCCCACCATCCCCGTGTGGACCTCTGAAAAGGATTCTCCTGTCTCCTGTCCCACTTGGGTTCCTCTAGCCCCCAGCCTGCCCTCCAGTCACTAACCCAGCACATAGACGTGTGTGGAAGTGGCCACTCGGGCCACAGCATTGCTGGCGGTGCACTCCCAGCGCCCGTGGGCCTCCTTGGTCACCGGTCGCAGGATGAGGCTACTGTTGCTGTCCATCTGGGCCTGGCCCTGCGGCCCCCGGCCCACCTACAGAACCACTGGTCAGCCCTGAGGACACATGCGGCCACCCCTCACCAAGGGCAGCTCCAGTGTCTTCCCCACCCTGCCTCCGATGGCTCCCTCCTTCCCGCAGAATGACCAGGGGCAGGGAGAGGCAGGGGTGCAGGGGGCATGCACGTGGGCAGAGCAGGGCTAGGAGCCTTACCTTGGCCCAAGAGATAGCAGGAGGGGGATCTCCCTGGGCAGAGCAGGGGATGAGCAGCTCCCGCCCTACTTCTTGGAAATATTCTTCCTTGGGTCTTTCTAGAAAAGCTGGGGGGGCCTGTAAGCCAGATCTGGCATTGGGAGGGGCCTCTCACACTGAATCGAATCCCCTTTGGGGCTCCCATCACACCCATTCTCCCAACGTCCCCCTCCCTGTAGTCTCTGCTCCCCGTGGGTACTGGAGGGAAATGGGGGTCTGGGAGGCTTCTCTGGGGTGGCATACATCTCCTCCCCAGAGCACCCTTTCTCTCCCTCCTGGGTTTCGCACCCCTTTTCCTCCCGAGAGGCCGGGGTTAGGGAGTTGGGCAGGCAGGTATCTTGCCCTGGGGACGTGTGCGCACCTCACATCCCACCACGCCAGCAGCAACTCTACAGAACCCGCTGGCACAGAGTCTGCGGCCGCCATTAGAAACCAACGCGGAAGCCCCTCCCCACACCTCGCCAGGGTGCCCACAGCCACCCTCACCTTGAGCAGCACGCGGGTCACGGGGGAGGGCCCTGCAGTCCCGAGGCTGTTGTAGGGGGTGCAGGAGTACTCTCCCAGCACATCCTCGTTCCCCAGGGCGATGATCAGTGAGCCCTCGGGGCCCTGGGACCAGCCAGGGAGCTGGAGGGAAGTGAAAGCAGTTCAGGGGGGGTGGGGGGGGTGGGGGGGTGCGGGAGAGGGAAGCGAAAGTCACATCCCTGCAGAGGACACCTCCTCCAGGCCTGACCCCTCTCTGAACTCCAGTCCTACACTTCTCTTTCCAGCAGCACCCCCTGGAGCTGAGCCCCGGTAGGGGTGCCTGCTGGGGTGTCCGGCACTGGCAATGAAAGTCAGCATCTTACACCCCCAAATCCTTTCCTTTCCCTGCCTGCCCTGTTCCTTGTTAAGGGCCCCACTGTCGCCACTAAGCCCGGTCTCCTCCGTCCCCCATCAAATTGCTCACCAGCTCTCTCCTCCGGGAAGACCTCAATCTAGGCACGAAGCCTGTCCACCCCCAGGACCCTCCTCACCTCTCACCTGGACCACTTCACAGCCTCTGAATCCCCTCGCCCCTGTGCACTCTGTCCTCCGTCCACCTGACTCAACTCCCGCTCACACTCCCAAACTGTCACACCGCTGCTCCCCAACTTCACTGGCTCCCACTGCCTGCAGGCTTTTTGGAACTTCCAACAAGAATGTACTGAGTCCTCCTCTTGCAGAAGCCCCAGGGACAGGTTCACTAGGACTAAAAGATGTGGCGGTCGCCCACAGGGAATTTATGCTCTTTGCAGGCAAAGACCCCCAACCCCCAAGTGCCTTGGAAGAACGCACTATTCCCTTGGCACCCACACTTCTCCCTCTTGGCCCCAACCTGTTTCTCTGCAGCATCGTGTCCCCACGGGAAAGCGGCTCCCCCCAAACTCGAGGACTCATCACGCCCTCGTGCACAGGTAGTGCACAGTTCCGTTTCCTGCCTCGGGGCCCTGGCTTCCGCTCTGATTGTCTGTCCACCCCCAGGGCCCATCACCAAGGTCCCAGAAGTGGTTGCTGATCTGTCCTCAACCGGCCCTGGCAGCAGGCTGTGCCCTCCTTAGGGATGGATCCTGTGCTCCTCCCCAAACACCCCTCACAGCCCCCGGGAAGGGGGGTGTCCCTCGTCACTGACTGGAGCGACACTGAGCTAACCCTGCCCCTGCTGACCTGACCAGGAGAGCACCAAGCTACACCCCTGCCTCTCTGGCCCGAGGCCTGTACCTTATCCAGCTGCAGGGCCCGCCCGTCCTTGGTCCAGCTGACGAAGAGCAGTGGGGGGTTGGCACGGACCGGGCACCGGATCACCCCCCGCATGCCTACGGGCAAGGGGGTCTCAGGAGGCATCGCTGTCACCTGGGCTGGGTCTGGTGGGAGAAGCAGTGGCTGGTTGTGGGGCCGGAGCCTGGCCGGGCCCGGGGGAAGGGGGCAGGCTGGGGAGGGCGCCGGGTCAGGCTTACAGAGCACAGTGAGGTAGGCAGAAGCCGAAGGCGGGCGCAGGAGGCCGTTGCTGGGCACGCAGGTGTAGCGGCCTGCGTCGTCGGGCTGGGCAGCCTGCAGCCGCAGGCTCCCATCTACCAGGATCCTCACTCGGGGCTGCAGGCGGCTGCAATGTGGCACATGTGGGCAGGGGTCCAGGCTGGCCCGGCCGGGGGACTCCTTGGGGGCTGCCCACCAGAGCCCCACCCACCCCGGAGCCCCACCTAATGTGGAATACGTTGATGCTGTCCTGGAACCAGCTATAGGTGAGGTTGGTGGGGTACGCCTCAGCCCGGCAGGCCAAGGAGACGTCCTGGGAGGCGTTGACCGTGCTGTTCTTGGGGGGCACCACGATGACTGGGGGACCTGCGGGCGAGTGCACGGGGAGAGGGGTCCTCAGCCCTGAGGCCCCCGTACAGTCAGCCCTCTGGAATACACAAGGGCCTTGAGGAACTGAAACAGCCCTAACCCCTGTACATTTTTTTAAATGTTTTATTTATTTCTGAGAGAGAGAGAGAGACAGCGTGAGCAGGGGAAGGTCAGAGAGAGAGGGTGACACAGAATCCAAAGCAGGCTCCAGGCTCTGAGCTGTCAGCACAGAGCCCGACGTGGGGCTCGAACCCACAAACCATGAGATCATGACCTGAGCCAAAGTCGGACACTCAGCAAACTGAGCCCCTCAGGCCCCCCTAACCCCTGTACACAACAGAATTTCCTTCTCTTCCCCAGACTGGATTGCCTTCGCACCAGGGACAACCCCATTCACCCAGATTCCCGGGCCTAGAACCTGTGTGTGTGTGTATGTGGGGGAGGGGAGGCAGGTTTACTCTCTGCCCATTCACCCTTTACATCCCTTGCCTGTCACATGCTAAATCACCTCCGCGTGTCCTACCCTAATGCAGGTGCCCAACACCTCACCCCAGGACACAGCACAATCCCTAACCTAGGCTCCAAATCTCACCACTACAGCGGCTCTTGGCAAAGATGCCCCGTTTGGCCACAGAATGCTTCTTGTTCAAGAATTCACAAGTCCTGGCTCCCACTGCATCAAGCTTGAACTTCCTGATCCAGCCTTGCGGGCACTCATGACCCAACCCCTCCCGGCCTGGCCAGCCCTTACGAGCTCTTTCAGGTCAGCGTGGGCAGCAAGCTGTGCCCCGTGCCAGTCGCACGCCTTTGCTCTCTGGACTCCATCTGGAACGCTCTTCCCACAGAGTCTGGCCAGGCCACATCATCCCTGCAAATCTATCTCTCCCTTCTACCGCTCCGCTGCCCTCTCCCCTCCCCGGGCTCCGCTGTGTGGGGAGTCGGTAATAGGAAGTAACGATCGGAGCCAGGGGCCTATAGAACACTATAGGCACGCGGGCGCTCCGCTAAGCACTTCACTGCACCATTTCTTTTAATCCTCACAAGAGCCTTCTGTGGGAGGAATTACTGTCTCCACTTCACAGATGAAGTAATGAAGGCTGAGAGGCAGAGAAGTGAGGTGAGGGCCCAAAGTTAGCAGGGTGGGCAAGACTCATTCAAGCCTTGCTGACTCCGGCGGACTTGGCCCTTAACAGTTCCTCAGCGCTGCCCTCCCACGGAACTGGGGAGAGTGACCCTTTGCTAACTCTTCTGACTTCCCTTCAGAAGAGGCTCTCTGAAGGCAGAGTGCAGGCAGTCTCTTAGCTTTCCTTCTGGAGGGAAGGTCTTGGACAGGGATTACTAACTGCTGATCACTGTGCTCAACTGAACCTGATTAAATTCTTGCAATAGTCCTAAAATGCAGATATGAGCCTCTTTACATATAGATGAGAACTTTGGAGGGGGTGGTCAGGAGGGTTACACACCAACTGCTGGGCACTAAGTATCTACTTGTCCACTCAGTGCTCCTTTCAAAATTAAGATGCTGGTTTTTAGAGGGGCACCTGGGTGGCTCAGTTGGTTAAGCGTCTAACTTCGCCTCAGGTCCTGATCTCACGGTTCATGAGTTTGAGCTCCACATCTGGCTCACTGCTGTCAGCGCAGAGCTCACTTGGGACTCTCTATCCCTCTCTCTCTCTGCCCCTCCTCTGCTTGAACTCTCTCAAAAATAAGTAAAATACTTTTAAAATTATATATGTACGTGTGCGTGTGTATTTTAAGATGCTGGTTTTAGATTGCCGACCTGCATTGGTAGCTCCCTTTCTCTCCATGCACCTGCCTCCACTCCTGCTATGTTAACCCCCGGCCACAGGTCAAAGCCCCCCATATAGGTCCCCTAGTTCCCGGCAGTCCCCACCCCCCCGCCAGAGCACCTAGCACCAGCAGCTGGGTGGCGTGGGAGGCGCTGCCCTCGGTGCTGGAGGCTTGGCAGGTGTAGACCCCGGAGCTGCGTCGTTCCACCTGCCGGATCCACAGCGTCCCATTCTGCACCTAGGGTAGGTGATGGAGGAAGGTCCCACGAAGCCCCCCCAGCCTCCGGCTGGCCTCAGACCCTGCACTTCCGAGTCTGGCCGGCAGAGGGCAGCAGCACCTCAGGCTCAGGAAGCCAATGCAAAGTCCTCTGGCCAGTCTCCCAGCCTGGCCTTTGGCCCCTGGGCCTCCAGACCCGCCCCCAGGCCGCCCCCAGCCCCAGGACTCACCTGCACCTGACCCTGGCCCTGGGCAAGGTCCTGTCCTCGGAGCTTCCAAGTCACATGAGGCTGTGGGCTGCCACGGGCCACACACCGCAGGGTCACGGGCTCCAGCTCCTGAACTTCCAGCACCTGGGGAGGGGTCTCCAGGAATTGAGGGGGTGCTGTAGAGAGAGAGAGGCATCAAGGGATGCCAGAGGGGCTATCAGTCCAAAGAGCGGGGACACCGGTCAGCGCTGCAGGCCTCGCCCACTGGCCGGCCCCGCTTCTTGGGAATCCCAGCCCAGTGCCACCCTGTCTGCTACATTCAGGGCCAAGTGAGGATCGCACCAGCCCATGCCCACACTGGCCTTCGGACTTAGCAACTGGGGCTGTGCACAGGCTGGGTGTCAGAGCTGGGGGAGAGCTAGTGGCCCCTGACTGCTCTGGGGGTCAGGAGGCCTGCGTTCCAGACTCCGCTTTGCCTCTAGTCAGTGGCAGGATCCAGTCTCCCCACCCATGGGAAGGATCCTGACCTTACTTCCTTCTTAGGGTTGAGAGAGAAATCATGAGGCACTGGGTGAAAAGGTGTTTTGAGCAAACCAAATGCGGTCCCTATACGTGAGCTATGTTTCACTCAGGGCCCAGCAGCCCCCTACCCCTTCCCCTCTCCAGGCCAGAGAGGTCGGGGGCTGGGAAGACAGGAAGAGCAAGTTCCAACGCCAGAGGGCAGGCGTGGGGGTGGAAGGGGCAAGATGCAGACAGTGAGCCCGCAAACAAGGGGTGTCAGCCAGGGTGGGGCCCCGGAACCCGCCCCCCCCAGCCAGAGGTCCTCATCCTGCCCCTCCCCCCCATCTGCCCCCAGCTTCATACAATTGACTGTGAGGTGCACCCAGGAGCCGTTAGCGGAGTCGTCCTCAGGGCTGTGCTGGTCCAGGAAAAGCACTCGGCACTCGTACCAGCCCTGGTCTTCCGCCCGGAGCCCCTCAATCCGGAGAGACGCCCCCTTCTGCAGCCGGACTCGCCCTGCGGGAGGAGCCCCAAACCCTGGTCACGCTGGTTATTCTCAGAGCTCAAGAGCAAGGCCCTGTCTCCTGCAGTCACCCTGATCCAGTGAGGCCCGGGGAGACACAGGTGGGGCTGGGGTCACTGAGGGCAGACCCCTGCATTCGGCCCCCAGATCGTTCCTGCCTTTTAGCAGCTGAGACCCAGTTCAGACCAAGAGAAACCCTGGCCCTGGGCAAGGTCCACCGGAGCAGTGGCAGGTGGACAAGACATCTACCGAACCGCAGGCGGCTTCGAGGACCGTCGGGGGAAGAGCGGCTTAAGAGCCACCCTTAGTCTCCTTGTGACTCTGACAGGGTCCGCGCCAGCCCTGGGCTTTTTGGAGGGGCAAGTATGGCTCCCGGAGGGCTCCTCCTGCCAGAGCAATGGCCCTGGAAACCTCGGCAGTGTTTGGGGCCCAAGCAGGGACCCAGACCTCCCTACCAAAGCCCCTAATCCCTCGGGGCTATTATCAACGGCCTAAGCGCCTTAGGGTGGCCAGAGTCCAGCCCAGCCAGGCAGCAAGGTCAGCAGCCTCCTCACCCCATCCCCTCAGGCCCCAGGGCACCCAGGCCCTGGCCGACTGACCACGTGGGGCTCCACAAAGCCACACAGCCACAGCACAGGCAGACACCCATCCCCCCCACCCCGGTCAACATCCACCGCACCACCAGGCTCAGACTGAGGCTGCCCCCCCACATCCCTCAGCACCCTCCGCACACAGCTTCGGGGGTCCCCGGCAGCGCAGCCTAGTGAGGGGGCGCACACTTGGGAGCTAGGGACACCTAGAGCCCAGCTCTGCTGTGTATTCCCTTGGGCAAATTGGCCAACCTCAGTTTCATCTGGAAAAAGAAGTTAAGACAAATCTGGGTAGGGGTGGGGAGGGGAGAGGAAATGCGGGGCCGGCAGGGGGCCCACAGCTCCACACTGTCGAACAAGATGTGAAATCAGAAGTTGGACTGGATCTCAGGTCTCCCCTTACCTGGTAACATGCCCTCTCCGCGACCCCACCCCCCCACCAGCAGCGGCTAGTCCCACCATGTCGCCCTTCCAGAAACCGGGGATTGCCAAGACCCCTCTCCGTTACCTCCGTCGTCTGAGTTCAGTACCTCTTTGACATTCTGCCTCCTGAATATTTGTTCCTTCTCTTGAGGCTTCACCTTAGTGTGGCCCCGTAGGATCTCCCGCCTGACTTACTCCACAGCCCACCAAGGGGCCTCGGCCTTGAGCCCGCCTTCCGTTACCTTCACCAGCCCACCACACCCTGACTTTCGATGTGGACAAATGAGATTTCCTAATCTTTGGGCTTCCCCAGAACTGCTGCTGCTCTGAGACAGGTCCCTGAGCAGGGGTCCCTCCAACAGGACAGCGCCCCTGACGAGCCCTTCCCAATACCAGACATTCTGAAGCTGTTCGTCTGCTTCCCTTCTATCTCCGCGGTGATCTTTCCAAAATATAATCTAAACCTGTAGGGATATAATCTAGTGCCGTCGGGGAAGAAGAGGAGACTACTCAGGCTGAGGCTGTGACTTTTTCCTTCCTTATCAGGAAAGGAACTTTTCCTTCCAAGGATGAGGTCCAGGGGTGTGGACTCTCCCCATGGGTGGACCTGCTTCAAGGACTAGGTGTTGAAATCTCCACCTAGGAGATAAGCCTAGGCCTCAAGGGTAAATATTTAATATAATCACACCCTTCCCCACACACCCCCTTCAGGATTCCTCTATAACCCTGATCTGCGATCTGTGTGGCCATGGAGCCCTGCCACCCCAGAATGCAATGTCTCTGTAAGTTCCATTAGATAGCCACTTTTCACTACGGTTATCTTCGAGCTCCACAAAAAAAGCAAGAAGAGAGAAGGGGCATTGAGCACTGAATATGGACCATGTAATATTAAGCACGGTCCCTCATTTAATCCTCCCAAGAAATCCATTAGAGACGAAAGGACGGACATGAAGCTGCTTTCCGAAACCACACGGCTGGTAAGTGACAAAGCCTGGCCTTCGTTCTCCAGAGGCAGTACGCTTTCCATTGTGCACTGGTGTTAGAATCAAGTGACGCTCAGGGCACTCGGCACTGGCCGTATTCAGGGTGTTTTCACTCAGGGGCTGCTGGTGGCCGGGGTTAGCAGTTCTAAGTATCTGTAGATCCGAACATTTAAGGAGGCGTACTGCATGCCCTACCTTTTCTGGGAGATATGGGCTACTAGACTTGTGTCACAGCACAGGAAGGTGGCCAGGGGCAGGGAGTCCTGAGTCCTCCTGAATCCTGAGCCCTTCCTGGAGGCCCATCCTCCACCCGCAGGGCCAGAGCCTGGTGGGCTTCCGTGTGCAGGGGTGTGTAAAGGAAGCAGAAGACACGGACTGCTCTCTCAAGCTCTCAGGAGCAGAGAACCCACATGCAGGTGCACATACAAGTTCACACACACGCAGTTCCAGAGATGCTGCTTGCTGTGTTCAGAGGTTCCAAGGACCACGGAGCGAGAGGCACACTGAGGGCTTCCAGAGCGCTGTGACTGCACGGAGGGGTTTGCAGGAATCAAGGGGAGAGAGTGGAGTGCTCTGAAGATAAGAGAACTGCCTTGTAGCAAACTCAGGACAGAGAGAAAACTCCGGTCTCTCTGCCACCCGCACTATCGCGAAGCTCCCCAGAGCGACAGCTAGGAAGTCAGAGACCAAAAGTCCCCGTGTGGATTAGAAGAGCAGGTGTAAGACCCAGAGGGAAAGGCGCCACGAAGGCCACTCCGCGCAGACGCTGTGCTGCGGGCTTTACAAACCCAGGCTGACTCCATCCCAGGAACGTGTCCCAGCCTGGTTGATACCGCTTTTTACCACTTTGTGCTCATCTGTAAATCCCGTTCCCTCCGCCAGATGGATTCTGGAGTCCTCAAAGGTGGGGAGCTCAGGTCTCAGGCGAGGTCCCTCCCACATTCAACAGGCCACCGGCCTCACACACACAGCCCCAGACCATCTCTCCTTCACTTGCCCAGAGGGCTTATGACAGGACCGCATTGTCCTTAGCAACCTCCACCTCCCAGAGGGCTTATGACAGGACCGCATTGTCCTTAGCAACCTCCACCTCCCGTTGCCTAGCAACTGCGTTCAGAGTCCCCCACACAAAGGCCGGGAGGCCCCTTCCACACAGGGAGGCAGTAAGAGAGTTAATGGGCGCAGGGCCCTCCCCCTGGGGGAGCTCCAGACTGGGGGCAGGGGTGGACACACGGGGGGGGGGGGCAGGAAGAAGCCCCCAGGGGTTACCGCTCACAGCCCCTGGAGCTCAGAAAAGCAACACAAAGAAAGGAAACCCACAGGTAGCAAAGTTGCCAGTCAGCCAGCCATTGGCTTGTCTGCCCAAGGGACCCCCCCCACGACAGGGCCGAGAGGAGGACAGGTGGGAGTCCCAGGGAAATTCCTCTCTCCTCCGCCCCACCTGCCCCTGCCCCATCCTCAGTCAGGCATCAGTCTGTACCCAGCCCAAACCCCTCCCGGCCCAGCCCGCCTGGCCCTGCCTGCAGAGGCAGGGAGGGCGGGCCGGTGGGCACAGCCGTTTTCTCCCCCACTCGTCCTAATTGGGGCCTGCTTTTCATCAGCTCTCACGGGGCTTGTGTAGACACATCCGCTCCCACCAGGCTGTTTGCCAACAACTGTCCCCAGTTTGAAAATAAACTCTCCCTCCAGCAGCACCTGCCTGAGTTCAGCCTGCCCCTCAGGGAGAGCCCAGCCAATCCCAGAGCTGCTCTCAGGATTCAAACGAAAGAGGGAAAAGGTGGGGGTCCCCTCCCCCATCAGCGGCCTTTCCTGGGTTTCCCTCTGAAGAGTGACTGGCTCAGTAGCCCCCTGCCCTAGCCTCGGGCCCTCCCACATGCTCCCCTTGGATGCCTGCACTAAAGCGCTCAGATTAAGACTCCATCCTCAGATTAAGACTCCATCTGGGGTTAGGAGGAAGGCCAGCCCTCTGAGGGAGCCAGCAGGGGTGGCGGAAGGTGGTGGGGGGGGGGGGTGTCCATACACTTAGTACAGGAGCCAAGTAGCCCAGCCTGGCCCCATCCATTCCCTGATCCTTAGGGGCCCTGGCCCTCCCCGGCCCACCCTCCATGGATGTGCACCTGTGTCCGCAGACCCAACCAAGCCCCCACTGGAGAAGCAGACAGGCCATGGACCCACCCACCCTGATGCCCATCAACCCACTTCCCAGAAGCCTAGAACCTGCCAACTGGCACGAGACAGTGGGGGGGGGGGGGCAGAGCAGTTAACACGAGGTCTTGCCCACCCCCCACCCAGCCTGCCCTTGCTGTGGTCACAGTAGTCACGCTCTCCCGTGTCTTACCCACGTAATCAGGGTCAATTCTGGGAGAGTAGAGGCCGAACTGGATGAAGATGGGAAGCAGGAATCCGAAGCGCAGCCACTCGATGACGTGCAGGGGGGGCCGGCCAGCCAGCGGCAGCAGATCGCAGCCCAGCACCACACTCTCGCCAGCCCGGCCCACCACTGAGCCCACCTCAGGCTTCCCTCGACCTGCACGGTGGGGGGCAGTCGACGACAGGGACCAGAATCAGGGCTGGGACAGGAGGCTCCCTCAGTACCTCTGAGCACTCCCTAGGACTTTGTGAAGTGGTGGAGAGAATCCTTAACTTCTCTGAAAGCAGTCCTATTCGTCCCCTACCCCGCGTGCTCACAGAGAACCCGCCCAGGGAGTGCCCCCCACCCCAAGGCCCGCAGGGAGCTCCTGAGCCCAGGGAGTCTGGCTCACCGTCAGCCCCCTGGCTGATGATGAGGCTGAGGACGGCCAGACTGAGGCACCAAACCATAGCCCAGCTGCCTGCTCGCCCGGCCCCTCCTATCCACGGGGGCCCAGACGGAGGGGCCCAGGGTGGGGGTGGGGGGTTGTCCACAGCCCAGCAAGCCCCAGGAGGGACGCCTTCTGATCCGGTAGCAGGTGTCAGCTCTCACTCTTCTGGACAGTTAGAGCTTGGCTCACATAACACCTGATGCGGCCGCTCCCCGGAGCACCACCAGATCTAGATACAAAACGAGTCGGAACCCCACAGTTAGAGAAGGGCCAGGAGGAGAGCAACGGAAGAGAGAGGAGAGCAGATAAGCAGGGGAAGGATGCAGATACCAGAGATCTGGTGGCCCTGGGGAATAAGGGCCTGGTGGGGGCTCTGAGAGAACGAAGGAACACTGGGTGGGGAGACCCGCCAGGTGAGGGCACGGGGAGGGTGGGGCGGAAGAGTCGGGAAGATCTGAAGAGAAGCAGAGGCATTCTGGGGGAAACCCCGGTTACTGACGTGCCCGGAAAGCTGAGCTTGGAAAAAGATTTGTCAGAAATCTTCCCTGTTCTTTCCCGAGTCCTGATGCTAACAGCAAATAGCAGATTGCAAGGGAGACACAGTATTACGCCTCCACCCCCGCAGGGACAAATGAGCACCCTGAGGATCTCTGGGGGGCTTGCTCTGGGGCACAGAGCCAGTGAAGGGCAAAACCTGGGCGAGAACCCCCAGGGGACCCCCACACACAATCCCTTGCTCATCTGCCCAGGCTGTGACCGCTGGAAGCTTGGGACGCTCTATCTCTTTCTCCACTCAGCCTCCCAACACGGCTTTAGCAGTGAGTGAGTCAGGCGCTGGGGAGAAGAAGAGGTGCCTCCCCCACCTGCTGGGACTGGGGGCCAGGACAGCATCCTCAGGCCTGGGCAGGTCCCGGGACAGGCAGCTGGCAGCACTTTCCCTGCATGATGCTGCCAAGCAGCCCTTCCTCCGCCAGACAGCGTGACCCAAGAGCCTCACCCCAGTGCTTCCCATTCGCTCTCCTCCAGTGTCCTCGGGGCCCAGACTTTGCCAAGCTTTCTCTTCCCCAACCCTAGGGGCATGGTCCCTGAAAGCCAAAAGCCTAGCCAGCCAGTTCCTAGCTGTGCAAAGTGAGCCCTGGGGGGCGCAGGGTAGGAACCCCTGCGAGACCCAGACCCAGAGGGTGGTCCCGGTGGGCTGGAGGGCGGGAGTGCTGCGGCCTTGGGCCCCCACAAATCCAAGCAGACTTTGCTCTGGCCCCCACCCCACTCCCAGCCTCCTCCCAGTTCTGGACTGGCAGTAAAAAGTCCTCCAGATCTCTCGGCCCGTCCCTGCCTTTACTTAATGGCCCCGGGTATGTAACTCCTGACAACTCACCAGCAAACCTTCCCCTTGCTTCCCTCTGCCCGCGGCCGTCTCTCCCATTCTTCCCCGACACAGCTGCTTCCAAACGGATAGGAACCCCAGTTCCCTCCCGGCTCTGCCTTCCGAGCACCTCAGCAACCCGGGTTTCCCCAGCATTCCTCTGCTTTCCCTATGATCTTCCAACTCCTCTGCCCACCGCTCCCCCTCCCCATGCGCTCACCTGTCTGGTCTCCCCACCAAGTGCTCCGATTCCAGCTAGCCCTACTTCTCACAACCTCCCCCAACCCCCCGCCAATTCCCATTTTCCACACCTGATCTGCAACTGCACCGGGTCCTCCGCTTTCCCAGGCACTCCCTTCCCGGCTCCTGCAGAATACCCACCACCCAGCACGCCTCCATCCTCTCCGCGGGAATCGCCCCCCCACCCAAATTCTCCGGCCTCAGCCCACAATGCTACTCTGACACTCCATCCTCAATTCCCTTCTCCTTCGCCAGCTCCGGACCCCTGAACTTCCCCCTTGCTTTTGGACCCCCCCCCCCACAAAACCCACCCCCCTGTACGGACGCGCGCGCGCGCGCACACACACACACACACACACACACACACACGCAAGCAAGCGTTACCTCCAGTCGCCTCCGGTTCTCCGGGAATCCCCCCCGACCCGCCCCCCCAAAACCCCACTTCACTCCCCAGAACTCTAGTTCTGCTTCCCCAGCCCCCGCCGCCTCGGCTCCCCCGGAACTCGCGAGCCCCGCCGGCGGCCGTCCCTGCCCCCGAGCGCCCCCGCGCTCACCTGCCCGGCGCCGCGCGGCCCGGCTCCCGCAGCCACACAATAGGGGGCGGGCCCGCCTCCCGCCCGGCGCCCCAGCGCCCGCGTCGCCAGGGAGACCGCCGCGCCCCGCCCGCCGCCGAGGGGGCCGACCGGCGGGGCGGGGCGGCCGCGACCCCCGAGCGGCCTGGGAGTTGTAGTTTCGGAAGGGCGGGACGCGCGGCCGCGGGCTCGGGTCGCCCCCTGGCGGAGCTCCGTGCTCCGGGCGCCAGCCGGGGAGGGGGGGACCCGCCGCGCAGGCCCCGGACCCCCGGAGCTGGCCCGCCGTCCTCCCGGGCCTCGCCACCCGCGAGCCCCCGCCGTCCGCGCTCGGCCGGGGAGAGGCGCGGGGCCGACCGCGGAGCCTGGGACGGGAGCTGGACCCCACCCCCCACCCCAGGGAACCCGCGCAGCTCGGGGCCCCCAGCTCTCCTCCCCCGCCCCACCGCCAGCGCCGCCCACCCGCCTCTTCTCCGGCCCGACTGGAAATACCTGTCTGCACTGGCGAGCTCCCAGGCCCCGGCCCGGCGCCTCCCGCAGGGTGCCGAGGGGACCGTGCGCCCGGGGCCCAGCAGCCCCGCGTTGCAGCTCCCAGCGCCAGCGACCCAGCGAAACGGGCCCGGGGTGGGGTGGGGAGTGGGGTCAGAACGAGAGGCATCCCGATGCGGGGCCCTGTAGGGTCCAGGCCCTGGACCACGGGGTATGTAGCTCTCAGGTCACCTGCGCAGAGACCCCGGGAGGCAGGCATGACTCTGTTTGACTCCGGAGAAAACGGAGGCACAGCAAGGTGGAGCGGCTTGGCCCCGAGGTCCCATCTCGGACACATGTTCGCCAGAGCCGAACCCACACCCAACCCGGATGTCAAAACCCACCTCCTTAGAGGCCTCAGGCCAAGAGATGGCTGGCATTTCCGCTCCTTAGAGCTTTCTGCTTGGTGAGCTTGGGTCCCCTCCGGGACGTGGCGTCAGGACGCCTTCCCCAGCAGGTTTAAGCAGCGCACCTGCTCAGGTCCTTGCCATTGACCCTCACCCCAGCCTGAGCTCCTGGGACTCCAGCCGAGCACACCTGGGATTTCATTCGTGGACCCATGGCCTCAACCAGCGTCCCGTCAGGAGAGACCCTGCAGGATGCAGCCAAGGGCTCCCAGCACCACCCTCCTTCCAGGGGGTCCCAGCCCAAGGGCCCACATCCTCGGCCAGGAAGCTCACCATCTAGTAAGCCATCTCATCCTTAGAGAGGATGCTGCAAAGTGCTTGCGGGTGTAAACATCTGGGGGCTTTTTGCCACAGCCTGAGATGAAAATGTGAGGGGGGAGGGCGGCAGGCAGGAGCAGGGAAGGATGTGGTCTCTCTTGTTATCCCTCCAGCAAATTCCCCCAAAGTGGCAGCTTTCTGCAGTACTTTACAATGTAACAGACTCACCCAGCAGTGATAAGATCAGTTAGTCTGATAAGACCATTAGTTAACATAGTGTGAAAGATAGGCCAGGAGGAGGCCTAGAAAAGGCCCTAGTGAGCGTTTTTTTACCCCTTGGCTCCAAGGCCCATGCTGGGGGTGGGATCCGCTGGATCCGCCACCCCTCTATTCCAGATGTTCATTTCTGCTATCTCCAGTGTTTCCTTGAAAAAGAGCTAATTTCCTTTAGTTGTTAAAGTAACGTTTTGTAAACTTGGGATTTAAAAAACTTTCCGGGGCACCTGGGTGGCTCAGTCAGTTAAGCGTCTGACTTCAGCTCAGGTCATGATCTCATGGTTTGGGGATTTGAGCCCCGCATCCGGCTCTGTGCTGACAGCTCAGAGCCTGGAGCCTGCTTTGGATTCTGCATCTCCCTCTCTCTCTGCCCCTCCCCTGCTCATGCTCTGTCTCTCTCTGTATCAAAAATAAATAAAAACAAAAAAGTTTTTTAATAAAAAACTTTCTATTTTTGAAAGGTTTGGATTGGATCATTTTTTTTTCCTGGACGCATATTTTGTGAGCTGTATTATTATTGTCCTTTTGCTCTGATTCACAAGTATCTTCCAGGCTTTTTGGCAAGGACAGGAACCTAGCCCTGTAACTCGCTCCTTCCCCATGCCAGAAGTGAAAGCTGATAAAAATAGTCCCTAAGGCTCAAAATTAAGATTTTCTTCTGGTTTGCCCTCCATCCGTGATCATTACTCTCAGGGGAAGTTTGTTCAACCAACTAGGATTTTACCTAACCCGGGTATCAGCCAGCCCACGTGTTTTCGGCCTGTTGACAAGAAGATGGGCCAATGTTGTCAGTTCCACAGACAGAGCTGACCACGGTGGCACTGGCCCTTTGACCTGGGCAGAAAAGCAGTGTGGATTCTCAGGGCGCCTGGCCCTTTGACCTGGGCAGAAAAGCAGTGTGGATTCTCAGGGCGCCTGGGGGGCTCAGTCAGTTAAGGGTCCAGCTCTTGATTTCAGCTCAGGTCATGATCTCACGGTCTGTGAGATCGAGCCCCGGGGTTGGGTTCTGCCCAGGGAGCCTGCATGGGATTCTCTCTCTCCCTTTCTCTGCTTTTCCCCTACTCATATGTGCTCTCTCTCACTCTCAAAAATAAATAAACTTTAAAAGAAGAAGGAGAAGGAGAGGAAGAAGAAGAAGAAGAAGAGGAAGAAGAAGGAGAAGAAGAAGAAGGAGAAGGAGGAGCAGAAGAGGAAGGAGAAGAAGAGCGTGTGATTTCTCGTACACTGTCACCTGGCTGTTGGCGAGCCTGTCTTCTGCCTGGTTCATGCTTGAATCCTCCCACAGCCCTGCGTGTGTCAGAGGGTCCTGCCTCCTCTCCAGCCCAGACTCTTGCCTCCCCCTTTAACACACGGGTGTGGACTTGCACTCCCCGGACGTCACTGTGCTCTCACAAATCCGTGTCTTCTGGCTCATCCTCTGTCGGGCTAGGATGTCCTTTCCCTCCCTTCCCTGGACTCCCTGCTAATCTGGGGTCAGAATTCTGTTCACCTCTTCCCTCCAGGGCATGGTCCTGCCCCTCCCACCTCACCCTCACCTTCACCCAGGGCACTGGTCACACCTCACTGTAATGACACCCTCATGCACTCCAGGAAGACTTCCTTGAGGGCAGACTGTGTCCTTCCTGCCTCTCCAGGGCCAGCTCAGCTCCCGACTCTTAGTAGGGCCTTGAACAGTACCCTTCCCCACCCCCCCTCATTTGCTTTCACCTATTTTAAAGGACAGGCAAACTTTGCAAAGTGCTACCAGGTGGGTATTGTCCTGGCTTCCTGGCTTCCAGAGCGACAGGCCTGGGCTTCCTGGAGCTTCAATTCCCCCTTCTCAGGGTGTCTGCCCTCCAAATCCAAGGGCCTGGGATGGTTTGGGGCCTCAGCCCTTCTCAGCTCCAGAGACGGTGTGAGAAGCACTTGGCCAACTCCCAGGGACCGTCTATTTCTTTATTCACTTTCCGCAGGCCTGACCCTGAGATACAGAACACCAGAGGCCTGTGTGTTTTCCCAGTCAGTCTCCAGAAACTGTACTACAGGATTTGGGGGACTTGGGGCTGAACCTCAGGCCTTTTGGAAAGTGGGACTGTTCAGGAGGCCCAGAGAATCAGCCTCAGGCCCGAGACTGTCATCCAGGGGCACAAGAGCTCAGGCCCTCAGGGAGTAGAGTGGATCCGTTGCCGCCTGAGGAGCTCTTTGGGGACTGGTCCCCAACCTCAACACCTCCTTCCCAGGCCCCAAGGGGCTCTAGCCAGGAGGGGGCACCTGGGTGGCTCAGGTCACCATCTCATGATTTGTGAGTTCAAGACCCGTGTCGGGCTCCGCACTGAGAGTGTGGAACCTGCTAGGGATTCCCTCTCTCCCCCTCTCTATCTCAGAATAAAATTAGAAAGGGAAGTAGGGAGGGAGAGAGGAAGGAAGAAGGAAGGAAGGAAGGAAGGAAGGAAGGAAGGAAGGAAGGAAGGAAGGAAGGAAGGGAGGGAGGGAGGGAGGGAGGGAGGGAGGAAGAGAGAAGCGAGGCAGGAAGCTGCTGCTTGCCTCCTGGCCCTGTTTCCTTTCCAGTCTGGAACCTGGAAAGCACCTCCTCTGGGTATCCTGGTGCCTGGCCCCCTGTTTTCCCAGGCTGTGTCCTTGGTCGCCACCATGCCCTATGCATCCTACTACCCTTCACAGCCCGACACTCCTTCTCCAGGAAGTCCCTCGGGAGATCAGCATCCTTCCCACTGAGAGGAGGAGGTGGCATCTGGAGGAACGTCAGGAATGTCAGTCCCCAGTCCCTCAGACCCCTCTTCCCAGAGTCCCCAGGGGCACCTGCCTCCTGCCTCTACCCCCACAGCCTCGTCTCTGGAAAGGGCCCCATCAGCTGCATCTGTGCCTGCCTCTCCCTGAAAGTGTTCCTGGTAGAAACAGACTGAGTCTAGATGCGGAACAAAAGGTCCCAAGCGAGGGGCAGAGCCGAGCCCAGAGCTCCTGCCGCCCCCCCAATTCAGTAAGACCCTCGACCTGGGCGGGCGGCTTCCAGTTCCCCTCCCCAGCACTTCCCCACCTGCCCCGCATGGTGCATGGCGCTGCATTGAGTAACAGCCACAAGATCCGATGCGGGGAAGGCGGCTCAGCGGCCCCTGGACTGCTTGCGGGGATCAGGAAGGAGGAAGAGCATCAGCTTAAGGTCCTTTGCTTAAGGGACGGGTGTGTGTGGAAGGGGTGGACATGAGCCCAGAACAAGATCCAGAGAGAAGGTCTGAGGCACAGAGAGCTTTAGGGGAGGGCAGGGCAGTAATCCCAACCGCGGACGGACAGCCGTCAGAGGCCCCGACTTCGGCTACTGGTCCAGCCAAGCTGTCACCCCCCTGGGCCAGGCATTGGAGGCCCTGAGCAGCCTGGGTCAGGCAGAGAGGAAGGTGACTGAGGGTCATCGGGCTCAACTCAGCTCCAGGTAGGACTGCCCAGGGCACTTCACGGGACAGCCTCTGGGCCGAACAAGGGCCCCGGCTGGGGTGGAAGCCGGGCCTGAGAACAGAGGAGGAACACGCTGCTTTCCTCTAGGTTCTCAGTGCTCAGGGCTGTCCTATTTAGGAGACGGAGCCTCTCGCTTTTTTTATGTAAGGTGTAAATGCTATGTGTTGGTGGGGAAGGGGGTAGGTGGTGAATGATAAATACCAACACCTGCTTGTGAAGGGGGCTTTTCGACTCACTCTGCTTAGCCGGCGTGGAAGGGGCTGGGCAGCTGGAAGGGAAGGAAGGTCAGGGAAGCAGGTCTGGCCCCGAGTCATCCAGCCAAGGACCAAACACCGGCTCCTGCACAGTGGTGATCACCTGATTTGACTTTATTGCCAGATAATCTTCCCTAGGGGAGTACAGCCCTGTGGCACCCACCCCACGGCCCCCGGGAGGAGAAGCGGCCGGGAGGGGAGGAAGGACTCCCGGGGACTCCGGAGGGGAGGTGGGGAAGAAACAGTGCTCAGGGCAGGGGTCCCCCGGGGGCTGGTCAGGTCAGGCCCGGGCGGGGCTTCTCCTTCCTCAGCCTCAGCCTGTTTCTCCTGAGTGTCCTTATCCCTGGCGTTCTTCATCTTTTCCGGGCCCGGATGAGCCAGAGCCCCACGGCCAGAAGGACCACAAACAGGAGCAGCCCCAGCCCCTTGACCCAGAGGCAGAAGTAAGTTGACGTGTCTGAAGCGTAGCCGGGATCTGGGGCAGAAGAAGGGAAGGGGAGAGGTGCTTGCCAGAGGGAGGGGCAGGCCCACCGCAGGAGGCACACCCCCAGCCCAGATCCCACAGAGGCGCTCAAGTCAGCAGTCCGTGCTGCTCCTTTGCAAGTGTCTCTGGACACAACATGTTCTTGTCACAGAAGCTCAGGAGCTGAGATCCGGGGGTTGATCTCAAGCTGAGCAAGAGAGGAGAGAACCTTTGGGAAGCTGGGAGCACTGGCCCCCTCCCCGGTCCAGGGGTCAAGGCCCTGCAGGAAGGAGGGAGGTTCTGGATCCCAGGTACTCTCTGGGGAGGGGCTGAGGGAGGGAGTGGCCCCCTGTCTCTGGGGTCCTGATACCTGCACAGAAGGGCCCGGCAGGGACGAGACGGGATTGGATGGTGCTGACGGGATTGCTGGCCCTGCAGGAATAGGAGAGGGCCTTGTCCCCGGGGCTCCAGGATGCGCTGAGGGCAGAGCCCTCACGGACTGTCTCAGTGCCCTCTTCCCCGGAGAGCCAGCTGTAGGTCACGTCCGGGCCTGCCTTCTCCACGGAGCACGTCAGGGACACATTACAGCCACCATTCCCGGAGATCTCAAAGCCCACGGTGACATGAGGCTCCGACAGCCGTCCTAGATGAGAGAAGAACATGCAAAGACCCTGTAAGTAATCAGAGGCTGGGTCTGTTTCCTTAAGCTCCTGGATAGTGGGGTGAAGGGTATACCCTCTGAAGAGTCCCTTCACGTAAACAGAAACTAACAAAACCCAGCCACCATAAAGTCTGCTTCCAGGCTCCCCTGGGCAGCTGCTAAGGTAGACCTGTCTTGGGCATTTTCTACTCCCCCCGCCCCCACCGCCCGAAAGCCTTGCCTTCTCTCTCTTCCCTTTGCACCCCACCTTCCTCCAAACTCTATTCTGCCTCCTTGATCCTAGAAAATATTGTCACACTTCCTGGGGAGGGGGGGACATGTATAGTTTAATCAGTGTCTCTGAAAGATTCAAGGTCGAACAATAGTCAATGTCACAGGCACAAAGAAATGCGGTCCTGGTAGAGAGGAGATGTTGGTTAGTAGCCCTCACATCTCACAGAAGGATAAAAAGCTCAGGGCTAGAGGCACCATCCCCCGCCCCAGGGTGCAGAATCTCAGTGGGAGAGAAGGACCCCCAGGGGTCTGGGTCACCTGGTCTCACGCTGTTGGGAAGGCCCAGGGGAACAGCCTCGGTGCCCAGCGCCTCACTGTTCCCAGCCGCTCGGCCAGTGGTTGGGGTTGGACACCCTGGAGACAGCCTGCCTTCCAGTCCCAGCCCCTCGAACCACAACCCTGAGCCCTGAGCCCGCTACCCCTTTGCATGCAAAGCCCAGGAGAGCCAGAAAAAGTAGCTTTAGAGTCCCCAGCCTCAACTCACGGTATACACGGAGATTGTAGCGCTGTGTGGTGGTGGTCTGGGACGTCCTCAGGTTGACCTGAGCCTGGTAAGGCCCCGAGTCCTCCCAGCTCAGGTTGCTAATGAGCAGGGAGTAGCTGGGGTCCAGGAAGCTCACCCGACCTTTGTATCGGGGGTCGGTCACCCCGACGATAGCCGGATGTCCCTCTTTCCCTGGAACCACTGTGGCAAGCCTTTTGTGAGAGGACCAGATGATGTTCTCGACCTCTTCATCGAATGGGATTTCCAGGGGTAGGCTGATGGACTCCTGCAGCACGGCCACCATTTCTTCGGCATCCACACCATCTCCAGAATCCCCTCTGGCTGCAGGGAAAGGCAGAGAAGAAGACAGCACCCCAGCTGGCGTCTCGGGGCCGCTGAGCCTGGCAGCGGGGCCGTGGTGGGTGCACACTGACCTCGGACCGCGCCGTTTCCTGGGCCCCAGGCTCCGTCTTGCCCCCAGCTTTCCGCTGCACCTGACTTGAGCACCTAGGAACGGCTGGCTTCCATCTGGGGTCTCACCCTCTGGGTTTTACCTTCGCTGTTTGCTGCTGTGGGTTGGTCCCCTTTCTATAGCCCAAAGCCACACCCTATTCCTCTTTACTCCAGAAGAACAGAAGCATCCAGCCCCAAAGAAGGTGCCCACCCAGCCCAAGCCCCAGCAGAACAGGAGAGCAGAGGGAAGGGGACTCTCCTGTCCCAGGGCTGCCGTCTCTCACCTGTCCAAAGCAGCAAGAGCAGGAACAGCATCGGAAGGGCCCCCATGTCAGCGCCCCAGGTTGGCCTGCTCGGCCCCCAAGACTATGAAGAAGACAAGCTGTCAGGAGGCTGCTAGAGACAGAGTGACTGACAGTCCCTAGGAGGGGAAATACTTCTCATCCCCCAGCACCCTCTGACTTCCCTTACCCTCACCAAGCACTTCCCTATTCATCTTGGGAAGTTCTCTCGGAGCCCATCTGCTGATCCTACTCGCTCACTGACTCATGCTTCTGTCCATCAAATGCCACACAGTTCCCACTTCCTACAGGAAGCCTTCCTAGACTCCCTGCCCCTTGCATTCCCAACCCACCCATACACACACCGCCTGTCCTGAGCCCTCCGCATACTCTGCGTCAGCTCTCACTTGTAAGTTCCTATGTTGCTGTGATCATTTGACCTTATGAGCATCTTTGTCACCCAGACAGACTCCATCTTTTGGGACATCTGTTTAAGTCCCACGCTAGACAGATGTAGCAACCAAGTGATATTTCTGCAATGGATGAATAAACGAAATCTTTTTTTTTTTTTAAGTTTATTTATTTTAAGAAAAGGGAGTAGAGACAGGGAGAGAAGGAGCCCAATGCGGGGCTCAAACTCATGAACTGCCAGATCATGACCTGACCTGGGCCAAATCCAAAAGTCAGAGGCTTGGGGCGCCTGGGTGGCTTAGTCGGTTAAGCGTCTGACTTTCATTTAGGTCATGATCTAGCGGTTTGTGGGTTCGAGCCCCGCGTCGGGCTCTGTGCTGACTGCCAGCTCAGAGCCTGGAGACTGTTTCGGTCTGTGACTCCCTCTCTCTCTGACCCTCCCCTGCTCACGCTGTCTCTCTCTCTCTCTCTCTCTCTCTCCTAGAAATAAATAAAACATTAAAAAAAAATAAAAAAAAAAAGTCAGAGGCTTAACCGACAGAGCCACCCAGATTTCCCTGAAGTATTTCTAGTTTAAGCTTGCTAGGTTCCTGCTTGAGAGATGAGTCAGAGGAAGAAAACTTTTGACCCCCTTAAAAAGCACTTTGGGCCAGAGCGCTGATCTAGGTTGTCAAAATTATGGAAAGAGTAAGTAAGGAAAGTGGTGCGAATATGATGCCGACCAAAGCTAGAGGAAACCTGACAGTCAGGGACACAGTGGTGGCCTTGGGAGGGGGTCTCCGTCCCTGGTAGTCAAGCTAATACTGGAAAACCTTGGATTGTTGGATGTTTGACAATCCATCTGGCATCAGATGGGATAACCCTTAAGGTTTTTTAAAACATTCAATTCTTTGGGTCTGTGCTGTGATCGGGAAGCAAGAGCAATGTCCCCAAGACCAAGGACATGATGGAGGCAGATACATTAGTTCTCGTCAAGGGTCGGCATTTCAAGCCTTGAGGTGTGGCCCAGGCACTGTCCTGAGTCCTGAGGGATTAGCAGTGGCCAAGAGTTTTAGATCATGACCTCGAAGAGATCAGGGGCTAAAGATGTGACCTTGGACAACTAACTGAGGGCTGGATGAGTTTCACCACGGACCCATCTGGGGAGCCTAGGACAAGGGGATCTCGCAAATTTGAAGTCAGAATGTCAGAAAAGGCTGTCAAGGAGAAATGATCTCAAGGGTAGTAGGATCTGCTAAGAGAATGAGATGGGGAGTTCTGAAAGATCAATTTAGGAGCATCAAACCTCAGGGATTGGGGTTCTTTGAAAATGTATATCAGGTCTCAGTCTGAGTATGAAAACTTTATGTAATCGTCCCATTAAAAAAATAAAACAAAGCGAAGTCACATGCATAATGTGCAGAGTTTAAAGTGTGAGTCTATCCGTTGGGGTCTCCAAGAAGTGGGTGCTGGCGTTGGGTGTGAACGAAGTTTCATGTGGGTGGAGGGAAAAGCCCATAAAAGATAAAAAAGAAGGAGGCAGAGTCAGGCAGGGAGAGCCCACCACTGCCATGCAAAGCAGGTCCCACACTCTGTGTGCAGTCACAGCTGCATCTGCCCAGGAAGAACAGGGGTCCGTCAGCCTGTGTTGCAGGCCGTCCGTCAACTGCACCCCTGCAGGGGAAGACAAACTCTCTTGATGGGAAGCCCGGGAGCACCTTCGTGGCCACTACAGTAAACACGGCAACCCGATAAAAGGAACTGTGATCAGATTGATTAGACTTGTCTCCATAAACAAGCATAAACAGTACATCATGCTTATTGAGTAGAGAGAGATAATTCTCTTTCTCTCTCTCTCTCACACACACACACGCACACACATACATACACACATCGTCATACCCCCCAAGCTCTCTCTGTCCAATGTGGAGAAGGGACTTCTCAGAAGTTTTCCGAGCGCTCTGAAAATCTGATTTTCATTCTGGCTCATGGGTTCTGATCCAAACTCAACTCCATTTCTGTCTCTCACCACCCTTTCACTGTCATTGGTGGTGTTGTTTTAAGATTTTATTTTTAAGTAATGTCTACACCCAACGTGGGGCTCAGACTCACAACCCCCAGATCAAGAGTCACATGATCCACCGACTGAGCCAGCCACGTGCCCCCAGCCCCTTCACTCGTGTTCAGTAGGGTGATCTTCCCCTGGCTCAGATGAGAAGTCTGGTTTTGGCTTCTGGTCTGGGTTCAGAAATGAAAACTTCCTGTCCCGTGTAATACATATACAAAATTCCAAACTTAAATTCAGATCAGGCTCCCCCTCCCCTGGCTTGGGTCTGTCTCAGGTTGGAAGCCTACACTGGGGGACGGGAAAGACTCTCTCTGCTCAGTCCCAGCTTATCCAGCGCCTCTGCTGCCCTGAGCTCCCTTCCCCCAGCTACTGCCCGCCCTCCTCCAGCAGGGTGAACATGAAGGAGAGGTGATGACATCTGGCTAAGTGGCTTTGCTGTGTGCGGGTCTGGCAGATGGTTAAGATGGTCTCTTCTTTTGAGAAGGGGTTTTATGGCTTTTGAAGAGTTTTGCTGGTTTCATCTCTCCTACCCTTGACCCAGGCTAGATGCCTCTCTATTCTGGGCAGTCCTCTGAAAGTCCCTCCACAGCCACTGGCCACGTACCAACATTCTGTCCCCTCCTCTCACCCCTCCGCTGTCCCCACTGTGTGACACCAGAGACCCATCATCAGGCTGTCTCACGGCTGGCCCTCGGTGGCGTGGTGTCAGGATCTACGGCATATACCGCACTCCTGCCTGCCTCAAGGGGGTCAGATCTCAGTGCCCAACTCTTCCAGGCTTTGGACCCTCCCCCATGGGACCTCCCCAAGTCCTCTCCTTGACCCCCGTCACTTGGCCCGTGTCCTTTAGGTGGAAACTGTGGGAACTCACCATAAAGTAACAGTTGTTTCCAAAGAAATCCCTTTCCAACCTCCCACCCTGAATCCCCACCCCTGGTTGAGGGGTCCCAGAACAGTGATCCAAGCTGCTCTTCGATGCTGTTGTAAATCCCACGAGGGGAGAGGTCCCCATCGCCCTGCGTTTGATCTCCTGACTCCTGGCTCATGGGCATGGCGGTGGTACAGCCCAGGGAGGCTCCCAGCTAACATCTGGCGTGTAGCGGACACTTTGGGCACCCTTCCCACAGCCTCTGGCCCCGCTGATTTCTGCGCTGCTGTTGGACGGCACCATGAGGTGCCTCCCAGCTCCCACGCCTGCACCTGCTTCAGAGCTTTCTAGGAAGCGGTGGGGGCACTCAGCCCAGGAGTGTGGGGGGCCCTGTACAGACCCCAGAGGCAGCTCAGCCCGAGAAGGGCTGAGTTGGCCGATAAACCTGCCCTTCCCTGCTACAGTGCTAAGACTTGTGCTCTGTGGTTCTTCAGAAGGGTTGAGCCCCAGTTGCCCACAGCAGTGACTCGCCATTGACACACCCTTGGTTGGCTTTCCTCCCCTCCCAGGCTCCTGTTCCTCATTCTTTCAGGTTGGCTCCCTAGGTCACCTCCCCATCAAGACTTCCTCCACCCAAGTCCTTGTCCAAGGCCCTGCTCCAGGAGGAGCCTAGATTAAGATACTGTTGTTCATGATAACGTAGTTGAGCCAGTGAAATGTAGATCCCCTGTGTCTTCTGCCTGGATTTTTAGGGACAAATAAGTTAATGAGAAATGAGTCCTCCACTCTGATTCTCCTGACATAATAACCCTAGGAAAGAGGGGCCAGGGAGAAGCCGGTCCTGCTCTGACGGAGGGGAGGGGTGGTAACGAAGGGTCAGATTGTTTATCAGACTCTCTCTCTTCGGCTTTCTTTGGTCTGGAAAGATGGGGACCCACACGGCAAAGCCCTGGTTCTGGAGGAGCCATTAGCAGATAAGCCCCAAATAAACCACCTGCCTCATGTCTATTCTATTCTACCTGCCTGGTTTGCCTTCTTTTTTCAAGGTCAGGGTTAAAAGTGGTTATTCAGTGGGCCATGTGGGGGGCAGGAGAACCCTGACACAGCGCACAGGTAGTTGAAATGTGCCCAGAGGAGCCAGGAGCGCCCCCTGCAGGGACCAGCCCTTGCGGGGTCCCTGAGGTGGGAGAGAACAGCCACCATGCGGTGCACATGGATCGCTCCAGGATCCCACCAGGTGAGGCGGAGAGACTGAAGCAGAGGGAGCGGAGAAGGGGTGGGAGGCAGCTCCTGGGCCTGTGGGCACCTGGAGTTTATAAGGCCTGCTCTCCCCAGATCACTGTCACAGGCCAGAGAAACGCGCAGGATGGCCAGGAGGTGCCCGGAGAGCCGGGGGATGGGGGTGGGGTAGGGAGAAAGTTGTACTGCTGTCGATCTGTTTTAAGATGCGAGAGAGTTGAACATATTTAAATGCCGAGGAGAGAAGCAAGCAGAAAGCAAGAAATAAATGGGAGGGTCGGCGCAGCAGGGTCCCCGCAGCCCCCAGAAAACTTGAGGGAGGTGAGATGCAGGGCCCAGGAGGAAGACCCAGCCTTGGGCTGCAAGCTGGTCTTCTATTTTAGGAGAAGAAGGTCCGAGATGCAGGTGGCAAGAAGTTGGAGGGAGTCCTGTCTCGTGCTTCTAATTTTCTCTGCAAAGTAGAGGTAACATCATCTGCTGAAGCTGAGGGTTTGAGTGGATGCGTCAAAGGCAGGCATTTTGGGAGAAAGGAGGGGGTTTGAAATAGATGAGGTGACTCTGTGTCCAGGTTTCTGGGGACCATCCCAGTTTAGGCCTGTTGTCCCGGGCTGGTTATCAATAATGCCCCTTTTTGCTCTTAGGAAGGGTCCAGGTTCTCAGATAAACTATGTGATTGCTCTAGAACAAGACAAAATCTTATTAAAGGAGGCTCGGTGAGCCAGCTAAGCTTAATTTTTTTTTAAGTTCATTTATTATGAGAGGCAGGGGAGGAGCAGAGAAAGAGAGAGGGAATCCCAAACAGGCTCCACACTGTCAGCACGGAGCCCAATGTGGGGCTCGAACCCACGAACCATGAGATCATGACTCGAACGCTCAACGACTGAGCCACCCAGGTGCCCTGCTAGCTAGGCTTTAAAAGCTGAGGGCCACCCTTAGCTCTTCTGGCCAATGAAGGGCCCGGAAGTTCTGGAGGGGGTGGTGGAGCAGGCAGGGTAAGAGATCACACCTGCAACGCCTCACTGCCTGGGCTCCTCCATCTGCAGAGTGGGGTCCTCACCGCACCTGCTCTGCCGGGCAGCTGTAGAATGAAATGAGATGTCGAAGGAAATGGGCCTGCGAAGGTGAGGGCCGTGGGGGTCCCTGCCTGTGAGATGTGCTTATCACAGACGGCTGGTGACTCTGAAAGCTCAAGGGCCCAGAGCCCCTCCGTCATTGGCCGGGGCCTGTGGCTATTGAGGAGGATACACAGGAATTCTCTAATACTGGACACGTGAATAGGCTTATTCCAGAACATTCACTGGCAGCAGCCGCGGTCGGGTGGGGGGTGGGGGGTGGCACTGCTGCCGGACGCCCGGCCCAGCTGGGAGTTAGCGCCCCCATCCCTGCAGCAGGTCAGCCCAGCACACTCGCTGAGCCCCTGTAGACACTGCCCAGCAACTCACCCCTTGCCCCTTCTGGGTACCCAGCTCCCAGAGTGACCCCCACAGACCCCCTTCCCTCGACTTCTCTCAAGTGCTATCGAGCTCAGGATGCAGGGATCGGAGCATGTGCAGCAGTTACACGTAGTCACTCGGAGGGCTGGTCACCACACCCGTTCCTTTGGCCCCATTCCAGACCCGGGAATCAGGTGGGGGCTGGGGGGAGGGGCTGCAAATCCACCTGCTGCCCCAGGCTAAAATCCGAGAACACCTCGTTCTGCCTGCTCCTCTGTTTCACCAAAACAGAGAGGAAGTTCCCAGCCATAAATCTCTGTCTTCTGTCACAAAACTTTTCTCTCCCCTTGAGTAGGGCTCTGAGATGCCGCCTTCTAGGGCTGGACTTCCTAGAACGAAAGAGGGTCTCTGGGGCTTTCGGTGTGTCCTCCTGGGGTCCCCTGGCAACTTGGGAGCCTGGATCATGCAGGGAAGCAGGTGCGAGGCCTGGGAGCATCTACCTGACACGTCCCATGTCTGCTTTTATCCTTAGATATGGCGGCGGGGGTGGGGGGTGGGGGGAGGTGCTGCTGAAATAGAAGCTGTTGGAAAATAGGGCACTGTTGTCAAAAGAAAGAAAGTTTAGAATCTATTGGTCTCGTCCTACCCCTTAGTTTACAGTTAAAACCAGAAAAAGCAAACACAAAGACCAGAGGTCCAGGTGTTAGAGCGGCTTTTCTCCGAGGCCACACGGGGCAAAGCAGAGTCCCGCACCCAGGTCACCGGGTGTCTTGCTGGCCGCACTTGACTCGACTGGACTAACTTGGGATGTAACAGAACTATATCTGCTGCTGTCCCAGTGCACGGAAAACCCACGGGACAGAATTGGTTTGGTGGAATTATCACTTTGCGTTTGCACTCGCTTTTTACTGTGAATTGTAATGGAGGCTGGAGGCACTCAAAGAGCCGGAAGGGTCCGGAGGCCAGTGGAAGGCCGTGGCCAGCAGTCCAGGCAGATGGGCCTCCGAGGGTATTTTTCTCACTGACTTCAGCACCCATCAGACCCCACACTCACAGAGCAGGCTCCGAAGTCCAGCTCGTCAATGTCCCAGAGTTTATTGGAATCTGGGATGCTACCTCATTTTATCAGAGGCGCCTTCGTCATTAACAGATGTATAGAATTGTGCATCCATCCTACAAATATTTACAAAGCTCTGGGTAAGCACGGGCGCCGCTCTGGATGCGGGAGGCAGAATGAGGGGGGAGACGCAGCAGCTACAACATCACACAGGGCCTGGGCCGGCGGGGGGGTGAGGGGGGTGGGAGGGACATGAGCAATGAACCACATGCAAACAATACCGGCAGCAAGTGGTAACGTCAAGACGAAGCTGCAGAAAGGAACGACCGGGATGGCAGCTTGAAGCCCACTCAGTGGAGCTCTCCGACCAAAGCCACCAGCAGCAGCCGGGGCCCGACGTCTCCCCCACGCCCGGTCACTATGAGGAGTTAGCGACCAAGGGCTGCCGGGGAGCATGGCGTTCTGGGAGAGGAGATGGCCTGTGAGTCAACAACTTGGCCACAACCCGCTGCGCCCCTCTCCACGGTGCACACTCCGCCAGCTGCAGCCTGTGGGCTGTATGAGCCCCAGCCAGAAGCCCGAAGCCACCACCGGGGTTCACCTCTGCGGCTCTGCTGGCAAAGACCACGACCACCCCATCTGGTTCTTCTAACAAGGGAGACGCTTCCATCTGATCATTTGCTTCTTTGGGGAGAATTTGCAGATCTCAGCTCGGATCCCCTAAGTATCGATTTACTAACTTGGGATTCAGAAAGCAAGCTCATTTTCTCCTTCCAGTGCTACCTAGTCCCCCCCTCCCCACCCAGCCACATGGGCAAACACACATGCACACGCGCACACACACACACATGCACATGTACTCTCACATGCACACGTACTTGCACACACATGCACACACACACACGCATACGTACTCGCACACGCACATGTACTCCCACATGCACACATAGTCCCACATGCATACCTACTCACACACACACACACACACACACACACACACACACCACTTTTGAGAAACACGGCAGATCTTCATTATCCGATACAAAACACTCTCGCCAGGGAAGACTATGACACCCTATGGTACCGCTCTGCTGTCTGGGTCAAATCTTTCTTCCTGGGCAAGAGAGGGGTATCTGGGGTCCTGGCCTGGAACACAGAGGGCGGCTTGGGGCTTAGGCCGCCTGGAACTGAGAGAGGTTTCCCTCCTCCGAGGGGGCAGTGGCCTGATAACAAAGCAGCAACGGTGAGGCGTTTTCTCCCCATCTGTGGAAATGGCGAAGGACGGGGGAAGGCGTCGGGGATCCCCCCAGTGTCCCAGGAGAGGAAATGGAGGGTCAGAAGGAGAAGTGGAGGGTTTAGAGGCAGCCACCAGGCCGCTCTGGGGGAGGGGGAAGGAGAGGCGGGGAGGATGCCCGCAGGGCCTGTGCCTGGCACTAGGGTGTCCACTCGGGCGGCATTGGAAGCGGCGTGTGGGGCGTGCGGGTCAGGGGTCTCTGCCTAACTCGACACCTTTCGGAAGCTCGCCTGGTGCCGTGTTACCCGAAGCCCGTGCGGTCCAGTCCTCTTTAGAAGAGTGGTTTCTGAACTTCAGAAAACATCCACACAACCCTTTCCTCAAAGGAAATATTACAAGAAACCCAGTTTGTGAAACATAAATGGACTTTCCTGGTGGATGCTGGGGGCTGTAGCCCCTCTCAGCATAAACCCGACGGCAGTGCCCTGGGGTCCCAAGGGTTCCGTGGGGGCTCCGGGCTTGCCGGGGGCTAAGAAATGAGGCATCGAGGCATCACAGTAGATAGAATTCCAGGCCCCCCCATTTACATTACAGGCTTATGAAAAGATTTCTTGGCAGGAGGGTGAGCTTCCTTTTAAAAAACCATCCCCTGCTATACTTGAAATTCTTTAAAATAGTGTTTGTTTCTGATTCTGTGGCTGTAAACGAATCAGAGAACACCTGTGTGCTCCCATAAGCGACCCTGGCTTGCTCCGACAGAGGTCATCCAAGTCGGGGGCTGGGGAGTTTGACCCCTGGAGAATCACAAACCACGCTAGGCGGGTGATCAGAAAGCAGAGACGCAAACGACATGCCACAGGGGCCGTGCCCCCTTCTCAGGCACTTTGCTGCGCCACCCACAGCCCGTGGGGGGAGGCGGAAAGATGCACGGGCCGGGCCGTTTCCTGAGCAGTCCTGTGATTGAGCAGAGGCCTCACCGCCTCCCAGACTTTGCTGTCAGGGGGAGACCCACCCTCGTGGCTCTGCCTTAGCAGGGACAGAGCACAAACGATGCCACTTGGATGGTGACCTCCCTTCTGGCTCCAGCTTATGTCCTAATCTGATTTTCGTCACCGATTGGTGTCTTATCTCGTGTTCTCTTTGTAAACTGTGTGCAAGAGGTTAGCCCCGCTGCCGGGAGAGAACACGGCCCACACCAGACCCTCACCTCCGACACCAGCTGCACAATTCAGGAGTCCCCGGAACCACCTCAGTTTTAGTAATTTGCTAGAAGGACTCACGGAACACACCGAAGGCTTTAAAAAAAAAATTTTTTTTTTTAGTGTTTATTTTTTGAGAAGTGGAGACAGAGCATGAGCAGGGCAGGGGCAGAGAGAGAGGGAGACACAGAATCCAAAAACAGACTCCAGGCTCGGAGTTGGCTGTCAGCACAGAGCCCGACACAGGGCTCGATCCCATGAACCGCGAGATCATAACCTGAGCCCCGCAGGCGCCCTGCACTGAAAGCTTTTTATGTTGACTGCTGTGCTGTATTACAGGGAAAGGCTACCTGATCAAAGTTGGCCTCGGGCTGCAGGACACAGGCCCAGGAAAAGTACCAAACATGTCCTGTCCCCTAGTTATGCTCCAATACCAACATGACAACATACACAGAAAAGCTCTGGTGCCACTGGAGCCTGACGATGGCAGCCCACGTGGCTGACTGTTAGCTCCGGCCTGTCTGAAGGCTGGGCTCACACCTTCAGTGCCCAGTCCCTCTGGCAGTAGGAGTGAGGCCGCATGGCCCGAAGCACTCACCGTAAACCACCCTGTTAGACTGTCTGGGGGCCGAGGTCCCCATGCAAACAGAGACACCCCTGTGGGACACGGCATCCTGAAAGATCCGCCCAGCGGACCCTGGCAAAGCCCAGACCTCCCCTTGGGTGAAGTTAATTCTTCACGACACAACATGTTAAATTCATTTTCAAACAAGGGGATGTGGAGGCAAGAAGAAATGGGCCTACCTTACAAAGTGCATCTGTCCAGGCACGACCGAACCCCTGATGGCTGCCTGTTGCTTGTGACAGCAGCTCCAGGGAGGAATGAAGGGACAGCGTGTGCCCACGGCCTCTGAGCCCCTCTGTGAGCTGGCCATGCCGCTCGCATGGGAGCAGGGGACAGGGGGAGCCTGGCCCTGAGTGGGGAAGAGGGACATCTCCCAGCATCCTCTGGGAAGAAAGAAGGCGGTGAGACTGGGGTGGACAGGCCTTACCCCATGTCCTCTGTTACTGGGTGAGGGGTTCCCAGGTGGGGCAGGTGACACGGACACAGTGCAGTACGAGGGGAGTCCTGGTGGCTTTGCAGAGCTGGCACTGGGATCCGGGGTCTCCGAGCCGCTCTCACCGGGGTCCAGGGGGAGGCTCCTCCCCTGCAGACAAGACCGGCCACGGGGTGTGCCGAGTACTGAAAGTCCATGTCCCCCCGGAATTCGTGTGCTGAAGCCCCACCCCCTGATGAGATGGTCTTTGCAGATGCAGCCTTTGGGAAGTCATGAGGTGGGGCCCTCGTGGCGTCATGAGCAGCCTAAGAAGAAGAGATAGAAGAGAATCTCCCCGCTCTGTCCATCCCTCCACTCCCCCCAAGCCTAAAGATGAGAGCCCAGAATGAGTTAACATCGCTAATTTGCTACCATCTAGACAGTCCACTTCCAGCCTCCGGGACAGTGAGGACATAACTTTTCATTGTTGAAGCCTCCCCCCTCCCCTCCCCCCACACTACCTGGGTGCTTTGTGATGACAGCAGAGCCTCTATTACAGGGAGAGGGAGAGCCCCACAAAGGCAGCACTGGGGAAGCAAGAGGAGAGAGGCGGGCTAGGGGCCCTGTGTGCAGGTGCTCCTGACCCCGCCCACAGGTGCCTGACTCGGCTCCTTCTCCCCATCCTCCTCCATGGAGCCGGCTGCATTTCCTTCTCCCCTGTTGCCGGAGTGTACCTCTCTGCAGACAGGCCTCTGCCACTCACCCTGCACCCTGACCTCCAGCTGGGGGCTCTGCTTCTGGGCCACACCACCCTCAGAGGTGGCCCAGCACCAGTAAAGCCCAGAGTCTCCCTCCTGGGCTCCTGGGAGGCAGAGCTCTGTGTGGGGGCCCTGGTCCTGCAAGGTGCTCTCATCTCTGTGGAAGGAGAAGAGGAGCCTTGAGGCCGACTTCTGGGAGTGCAGCTTCGTCTGGTATCTCAGGGTCAGCGGGCTTCCCTCACAGAGCTCGGGGGAGGGGACAGCGCTCAGCACAGGAGGCGGGAACAGCTCTGGGGAGATGCGGGCCCAGGCTCAGGGGGGCCTGCTGAACCGTGAGTCCCCAGAGGCCACGGTCTAAGCCAGGGCACATCCCAGCTCACAGCTCCACGCGCCGTGGGGGATACTGTCATTGTGTCCCAGGACCCGCCTCCCAGCTGCGACCCACACCTGCCAGAGCCTCTCTGGAACCCTGAGCCAGAGCCAGGGGGCCTTAGGGTCAGCTGGTCCCCAGAGGGGAAGGGTCTGGCCCAGGGCATCCCCCTCTTTCCCTGGGCTCCGGAGGCACTTGGACAGCAGGATGGGCTTTCCAAGGCCCTGTGGTCGCCCAGCATCAAGTCCGCCAGAGGGATGGGTGCCTGCTGACCTCTAGAGACCAGATCCCTGAGCAGCACCCCAGCCCCACCCCCGACCCCCCTGAGCTGGTGACTCACATTGGACTTGAACCATGACCATCTCTGAAGTTTGTGTGCCCAGGTGTGGGATGTAGCCCATCTTCCCAGAGCAGCTATAGTGGCCGCTGCTCTCCAGTGTAGCTGTCCCCACGGACAGGGACCATCTGGTCCCGGGCTTTTCCAGTAATTTTCCATTTTTGTAGAACTTCACCCGGCACAGGGCCGTGTTCTTCCATCCGTGACATCGCAGAGTCAGGGGGTCTCCCTCAAACACGGGGTCTGGCAAGGCTCGGAGGTACAGCCAGACTGTGAGACACGAGAACAGGGTCGTCTTGGAGCACTCACCGCATCGGCTAGTGTTCTCCCTCTGCCCCATCCCTCCCCCAGTCCTCCTCCTGGGGACAGACTCTGCTGGACAGCACCTGCTCAGCTGTCCCGCCCCCCAGACCTTCATGTGAGAGAGGCCAGGGCCGGGGTCTGCTTTCCTCTCTGCTCCCCCTCCTCCCCTCCTTCCTCTCCCCTGCCTCTTCTCTTCACCATTCCCCTCTCCTCTCTTTCCCTCTCTCCCTGACCCTACTGTACAGAGGGTTTCTCCAACCTTGACTTGTTTGGTTCCACCTGGAGTAATTTCAACCACTTAGCTGTCTTATCCTTCTCACATGTGACATCCCGCCCTGGTCCAGGCTGACCCACCTCTAGCTCCAGGTCCAGACCCCAGGAGAATCCAGGGATGGGGAGACCTAAGCCAGATCCATCCTGCCCCCCTCCTCCTTCAGTGCCCAGGCCAATCCCCAGCCCCAGTGGGGTATGGTGATGCCCTAAGGAGGTAGAATGTGTAAGACATGAGAGATCTAGAGAGAGAGAAAGTTCATAACAGCCAAAGTAAAAAAAAAATTAAAGTATTTATTTAAAATATTTTAAGTTTATTTATTTATTTTGAGGGAGAGAGTGTGAGCGAGGGAGGGAGAGATAGATGCAGAGAGAGAGAATCCCAAGCAGGCTCTGCACTGTCAGCAAAGAGCCTGATGTGGGGCTTGATGTCACAAACTTGTGAGATCATGACTGGAGCCGAAATCAAGAGTCAGACGTTAAACCAACTGAGCCACCCGGGGTTCCCCAATTAAAGCGTTTATCAATGGGGAACTGGTAAAATCAATTATGGTCCAGCCATATAATGAAATCTACCATGGCCATGAGAAAACCAGAGGTAGGTCCAGAAATACGTACCGTCAGGAATGAGCTCCTGTGTACAGGAGTATACGGCAGACTGGGCAAGCCACAGGCTAGGACAGGGAAGAAACTGTTTTCACAACATGCTTCTTCCTTCTTTAATTTTTTTTTAATGTTTCTTTATATTTGAGAGAGAGAGAGAGACAGAGTGTGAGTGGGGGAGGGGCAGAGAGAGAGGAAGACACAGAATCCGAAGCAGGCTCCAGGCTCTGAGCTGTCGGCACAGAGCCCCACGCGGGGCTCGAACTCACGAGCAGTGAGATCATGACTTGAGCCAAAGCCAGACGCTTAACCAACTGAGCCACCCAGGCGTCCCTTCTTTGCTCTTTAAAAAAATTCTTTTTTGATGTTTTTACCACATTCACCTGTATTTTTCCATGAAGAAGTGAGATAAAATGAAAGAGTCCAACCTCCCTGATTTCCCCATACGACCTTCAGTCAGGCCCTCTTACTTGAAGACCGTCCCCCCCCAGCCCCCTGCAGGGCGGGTTCCTTGCCCAGAAGGTACTGGGCAGGAGAGCAGCGGAGGACGTGGGAGTGGCCCTCAGGATCCAGAGTCCAGGGGGCCGGAGCCCAGGCGGGAGGCCAGTGGGAAGAAGACTGATGGTGACACAGGTGACACAGCACCCGTCTTGGTGGTGGCGGAGGATGGGAGATACCAAGCGAGGCTGAGCCCGGCCCCTGGCGCTCCCCACCGTGTCACAGGCAGCAGCGGAAGACGAGAGGTTAGCGGGTGCACTCTGCTCAGTGACAGAAGGGTATTCTGTCGGAAGTCGGTTCTGGCATAGCGCTCTCTGTCTCCAGGAGTGGGGAAAGACTCAGTGTCCCTGTAGGATGCCCCCGGCAGGCCTGGGCTCCAGCTGGTGGGGAGGCCTGGGTGCGTGGGGGTCATGGCTGGGAACAGGCAGGTGCACCCAGACACAGATGCTTGTCACCGGGCGCCGGGATGAGAGGGAGGACCAGGCGGGAAGAGCCCCTGGGGCCACCTGGCCTCCAGATCTGGGAAATGCCACTGCACAGACGGGCACCGAAGCCTGAGCTCTACGAGGTGGAGCCCCCCCTCCAGCTGATGTAGAGCCAAGTCTCAGCCAGACAATTGTCGCATCAGACAGACATTTATAGACAGCGGCAATGTGACTTTAAGGACACGGTAAGCTTCCCATCACAGGGGGCTCCAGCGGAGATGAGGGTCAGGACAAGACTGGCTGCTAACTGCCTCCTGGCCGACAGGGTGGTCCCACATGGGAATGGCAGGTGCGGAGGGTGAGCGAGCCCCTGACTCCCCCTTCATGGAAAGATCTGGAAAGCGCCCCACCTGATCGTAGCTCCTCAAAAGCTTGCTAGGAACCTTTCTGCACGGACTCTGGCTGTGCTGGTTTTGGGGTCTCTGTGCAGCCAGCCCAGGGCATACCCCTCCCCACCGTCTGTCCTCACTGCCACTGGAGGTGCAAGGAAAGGAGGCGGATGGGACTTCCATGACAGCTACCTTGTCCTCTAAGAAGCCCCAGGGTTGGGCCGGGGCACTTTACAAAGAAGAGCTCGAGTCTGGTGCCAACTTTTCAGGAAAACCGGATCTCCGTACAGGACACCAGGTCTGAGCCTCAGCGGTAATTTCCCCCTTCTCATGATGCCTCCAGCCTTATGTCCCTTTAACTCCTCGTCAGGCACTTTCACTTCTCCAAGTCCAAGCCTTGTGGAGCCCGGCTGTGCATGGAGGAAACCTTGCAGAAGCGGGATGGGCAGGGAGAAGTGGGCGCACAGGCCACAGAGCAGGGGAAGTGGAAGGCTATGGGCTTGTGCTGCTTGAGTTCTTTCCGAGAAGAGCCTCCTGTCACATCTTCCTGGGGCCCAACTCCTCCACGCTAGAAATTCCACTGATTTCTTCCTGGTTACTACCTTCCCCAAGTTCTTCTTTTAATATGCAAATCATGCTAGGAAGATGAGAGGAAACCACAACATAACTCTGCTTAGAAACTGTCCTAATATGTTTGTAAATGTGCAGGAAAAATGTAAATCGCCCTGGGTGAGCAGGCATAGACGAAGCCAGGGGCTCACTTCGGTAAGTGTGCTTAAGCACTTAAGGCGAAAGGCTTTAAATCAATCTAAGCTTCAAAGGGCAGGAGTGAAGAGTCAGAAGATGGTAGCCAAAAAATACCTTCTTGACTAGAAGAGACCCTCATGGGACTGTTTGCCATGAGTGACACAGAGAAAATAGGTTAGGCAATCTTTTTCCACTTCAGTTCAATTCAACAAAGATCCATTTGATTCTACCACAAGTAAGGCACTGTGCTGGGGGGAAATGGGGACGAGAAGGCAAACAGCAGCCCTCATTCCCAGGCAGTCTGGCCACGCAGGACCAAACACACAGATGCACAAAGCAGAGAGCTGGAATGAAAGGAGAGATGAAAGAAGAGAGGCAGCCCACCGAGCCGGGGGGCTCCAGGGAGGGGCGTGGTGGGAAGGGGTTTGGAGGCAGCATGAAGTGAAATAAACACACTGCGTGTGAAGGCACCGGTACAAACAGACGGGGAATTACAGGATGCTTTGGGAAACATCCCTGGCCAGATCTGGATGGAGCATGGGGCAGAGGTGGGGAGTTAGTGGAAATAAGGGTGGAGAGAAGATTGGGTCCCTGAGAGCAAGATCAAGGTCAAGGGAGCTGCGGCCAATCAGCAACACATCTGTGGTTCCTTCCGTTTCTGTGCTGAGCACTGATCCCTGGCCACCGACGAGAATGACCATTCCAGGCACACTTCCAGGAGGGGCCTGTGATCCCTTCTTCCAGGGACGTTCTCCTCCACCCCCAGCACCCCTCCCGCCCAGAGACACACGCACCGCAGAACAACACTGAAGGTCCGCCTAATGCCCTGCGGTCCTGCTCAGTCATTAGGCACCCTGGCCAGGCTCTCGTCATCGTGATCATGCTCCTGCCCAGCACCTGCCTCACTGCCGCCACAGGTCTGTGACTCTCCATGCCTCCCGGGGGGTCCAGTAGCTATGGTAGGTGGGGCTTGAGGAGTCAGAGGCACACAGTTTCCCTTTTCTAGGGAAGGAATCCCCAAGTTGTCAGGAAAAGCAGGACATCAGATCTCCCCAAGGAGAGGTTCCCTGGCCACCTTTTATTGTTTTGTTTTGTTTTCTTGCAAAAGTCCATTCAAGTCGGTTTCTATTACTTGCTACTACAGGACTTTAGTGGGTTTATTGGAAAGATCTTTGTTAGAAGGGAAATGACTTGCTTGCGAGTTGAATGTCAGCGTTGGCTAGGACACAGTGGAGCTGGGTGGTGGCAGGGCAGGGCGGGGGTGGCAGTCTGGATGACCTCTGAGGTCCCTTCCAGGAGGTCAGAGGTGCCTCTTCTGGTCAATGATGCTGGCCAGCCTCCTCCCTCTTCTCGCCCAAAATGAGAAGCAAAAAGCAGGAAATAAGGACTCCTCGCGACTCTCCAGCTCCCTTGCGGGAAGGACACAGATCAATCCCAGCAGAGTCCCACACCGCGGCGAGCCACCAGGGCCACACTTCCCCCAGCGGCCAGGGCTTGAGGACGGTTGGAGCAAAGGCGGGGGACCCTTGCCGGAGCAAGGCGCGCTGGTGGCACAGATGGTGAGAAGTGGAAGTAGAAAGTCTGTGGCCTCGGCTCCGCGCCTTCCTGCCGTGATTATGAAAAGAGAGTCCCTTCCCTCCACGCAGGCTGCACAGCATCCCCCCAAGATATCCAAACCCTGAGCCCAGAACCTATAGCTGTGACGTTATGTGACAAAAAGTCTTAGCAGATGTGATTCGGCTGAGAACCTTGCAGTGGGGAGATGATCCTGGATGATCTGGATCGACCAGATGTCACCACGGGGTCCTCCTAAAAGGGACTCCGCAGAAATCAGAGTGAAAGAAGGTCCCATGACGATGGGAGCAGCATCAGGGACAGAAGATGCTACACCGTGGGCTTTTTTTTTTTTTTTAATGTTTTATTTATTTCTAGGAGAGAGAGAGAGAGAGAGAGAGAGACAGCGTGAGCAGGGGAGGGTCAGAGAGGGAGTCACAGACTCCGAAACAGGCTCCGGGCTCTGAGCTGACAGTCAGCA